CCCTTGCAGAGTCATCCTTGCCCTAAAAGCTCTGACCAATCAATCCTAGCCCTTGGCAGGAGGAATATAAAGGAAGAAAATCAAACTGGTCTGTGGTAATTGTCCAAGTTTGGTCATCAAATTGGCTGGCCCCACCACAAAAGTATATTATCTAATCTTAACTAGGCTTTCACTGCAGCAAAGCCAACATTCTGTGTCTCCCTAATGATTCACTGTTGTATAGTATTCCCAGACCTAATCTCCTCAAGCCTCTCTCAGCACTCCTGCCCCACCACCTTCTCAGCCCTCGCCTCATATTTCACACCCCCCCCAAAAGACCAGTCTGTAAGAGCTCTCTCTTCTCCCCTCCTCTCCATCTCACATCACTTAGAGGAAAATGGAAGACGATGTCTTCATTCTATCCTCCTTTCCCTGGGCCTCAGATGAAGAGGTGGCCCTTCTCTTTGACGAGGCCAATCCTCCTGCACAAACTCTTGATCCCTTAGCAGCTCTCCAGCAAATTGTTCCCACTGTCCATACTCTTTCTCATCTTCAGTTTCTCCCTATCAACTGCCTTCTTCCTTGCTGCCCACAAATGTGCTCATATCTTCCTCAAATTAAAAAAAAACACCTCACTTAATCCTGCTGGCCTACTAGCTATTATCCTATATATCTCCTCCCCTTCATTGCTAAACTCCTTGACTTTCTCACTTACTTTCTCACTGACTTCTCACCTCTACAGTTAGTGCCTCTACTGCCTCTTTCCTCGCTTTCTTCTAAACCCTTGCATATCATTCACCTGAAACTGCCCTCTCCAAAGTTACCAATGAACGCTTAACTGCCAAACCTAATGACTTTTTCTTGGTCCTTATCCTTCTTGACCTCTCTGCAGGATTCCACACAATTAATCACCTTCTCCTTCTAGATCCTTGCTCCTCTCTAGGTTTTCATGACACCAATCTCCTGGTTCTCCTCCTATCTGTCTCAACCATTCTTTCTCCATTCGTTGCTGGTTCTGCATCCATAGCACGTCCTCTAACTGTGGCTGGGCATCCAAATTTTGTCCTGGGCCAACTTCCATTCTGTTCCTCTTCTGTCTTGCTTAGTGATCTGATCAGCTCCCACGGGTTCAATATTCATCTCTAGACAGCTGATTACCAGATCAATATATCCAACCCTAGTCTTTCTCTTAAGCTATAGTCACACATCTCCAGCTGCCTCTTGGCTATCTCAAACTAGATTTCTGTTAGGCTTCTTAAACTTAACACGTCTAAAGCAGAATTCGTTATCTTTTCCCCCGAACCTCCTCCATTTCTGAATTTTCTATCATTGTTGAGAATACCAACACCCTCTCAGTTACCCAGGCCCACAGCCTGGGTGTCACCCTCGACTCCTCATTCTCACTCACCCCACATATTCAATCCACTGCCAAATCTTACTGTTTCTACCTTTACATCTCTCAGGTCCATTTCCTTCTCTCCACTCATCTGAATTATTTCAATAGCCTTCTAATTGGTCTGCCTTCCTCCAGTCTCTTCCACAGTCCTACTGGTTCTCCCCTCACCTGCCAAGATGATTTTTCTAAAGTACAAGTCTAACCACATCACACCCCTCCTCAAGGACCTCTGGTAGCACCCAATAACCTCCAGGATCAAATATAAGGTCCTCTGTTTGGCATTTCCATTCTTCTTACACCTTGCACACACACACACACACTCTGATCCAGAGACCACTGTTTGCATTTCCTCAAACACAACAATCAGGCATTTGAACTGACTGCCCCTCGTGCCCAAAATGCTCTGCACCTCCCTTCTGCCTTCTGTTTCCTGGCTTCCTTCATGGCTGGCTACACTCTACCTTCTGCAGGAGGTCTTTCCTGATTCTCCCTAGCTGCTTATGCTTTCCCCTTTCAGGTTTCCTTCATTCAGTCTCTTCTGTGTATGTTTTGTATGCACCTAGTGATTTACATGTTGTCTGCTCCCCGTCCCCTCTTGCAATGTATATTCCTCAAAAGTAGGGATTGTGGGGTTATTTTATTTTATTTTTCTTTGTCTCCCCAGTGCTTAGTATAGTACATGGTACATAGTAAACACTTAATAAATGCTTGCTGCCTGCCTACCTGATGGATCAAGTTGTTTGTGTTTCCGGTCCTGCTGTAACCGGAGTACTCCAGTTCTCTAGTGACTGGATACAGCTCAGGTCCCCTTAGTGTCTGGGTGTCCTGCCTGGTCCCTAAGTCTCAGCGAGTATCTGGCTAGCTGGTATTTTATTCATCTCATTTCAAAAAATTTTTGGTAACAGATGAACCCACACTGTGGTAATCGTGTTGTGGTGAAAAGAACACTGTATTTGGAGACAGAGGCCCTGGCTTCAAATCCTTACTCTGGTTCCATCTGTTCAACCCCCTCATTTTACAGATGAGTAAGCTGAGACTCAAAAAAGGAAAATGACTTGCCCAAGGTCACGCAGCTTATAAATGGCAGAGCCAGGCTTTTTATCCAGCTCTTCAGACCCTAAACACAATGTTTGGGTGTGTTGTTTTTTTTCCCACCGTGCCATGTTGTTTCTATGGCTCCATGCTGCCTTTTCCTCACACTTACAGAATAGGGAAATTAAAAGTTGAATGTCCAGACGAGGAAAGTTAGAGTAGGGTAAAAAAAAGAATATGGCCTTGGAGAGGAAGGTCAATCAAAACAAACCAACATTTGCCTAGGGCTTAGCCAAGGTCATATAGTTGATAAGTGGTGGGTGGATTCAGGATTTGAATCCAGGTCTTCTGACTACCAGTCATTGGCTCTCGTGACCCCAATACTGCCTCCACTATCCCGGCTGGATAGCTTAAGTTTGTTTCTCTTGCATTATGACTACCAGAAATCTTTATGAAACAATCCTTCCTTTTCATGGGAAGATTCTTATGAACTGATGCAAAGTATAGGCAGAACTAACTAAACAATATATGTAATGACTACAAATATGTTAATGGAAAGAACAACAAGAAAACAAACAAACAAAAAAAAAACAGAATACTAATGTGATTATAATGACCAAATCTGACTCTAGAGAAGAGATGAGAAAATACCTCCCTTCCTTCTTTTCAGAGGTGAAGGGCTATAGGTGTAGAACATTGCATATACAATCAGATACTAGAAACATGCTGTTTAGTTTTGCTGAGCTGTTTCTTTTTCTCTGTTTTTAATTTTTTGTAATAATGGATAGCTACCTGGATAAGGGAGAAAGAAGGCTGTATTCAGAAATGAAAGAGATATTAAAAAAAGCCTTCAATAAAAATTTAAAATACAGAAAAATAACAAATAAATAGCTTTCTACTCATTGATAGCATAAGGATCATTGCTCTTCAAAACAATGACCGCGACACTTTGCTTCTGAACCCCACAGTATGTTTGGCGTAGGCATCAATCTTTCATAGAATTCACACCTGGAAAGGACTTCCGATATTATTTAGTCCAGTCATGTCATTTTACAGATGAGAAAACTGAGGTTCAGAGAGGGGACATGACTTGTCTAAGGTCCCACAGGTAGTAAGTAACAGAGCCAGGATTCAAACCCAGTATTAACTCCAAATCCAAGCACTAAGAGGTTGTGTCCCCTTTTATTTTGCTGAGAGAAAACTGGAGACTGAGATGACACAGATAGCAGAGTCAAACTCAAGTCCTCTGATTCAAATCTAATATGCTTTCTATGAAAACAGATTCAATTCAGGTGTTGTAGAAAGCATGAGATTTAGAGTCAGAGAATTGAATTGAATAAAATTTAGCTTAAGTTCCCATCCTTATGGAGCTTCTAGTCTAGTAGGAGGATCCAACAGCAATACAGATTGTTATAGTATGAAAATTGTGCATCAGTTGCACAATTGCAATTGCTGTTGTTCGTCCTTCATTCTCAGAGGGGACCAGGGACATCACAGGCGATGACTTGGGTGTGAAATGGATTTATCAGTTAGAAACAAAATTTATTATTAGGTAAAGCCTGATGGGTAGGATTGTTATTGACCCAGAGTGTCAGAGAAAATTCCCTGGAAGAAGAAGCATTTGAATAGGGTTTCAAAAGATAGGTAGTAAAAAGGCTAAATAATAAGTGAAATAGGTGAATTCACTGTTTAGTCGTCTTTCGGTTGTGTCTGACTCTTCGTGGCCCCATTTGGGGTTTTCTTGGCAAAGATACTGGAGTGTTTTGCCACTTCCTTCTTCAGCTCATCTTACAGATGAAGAAACTGAGGCAAATTACTGTCTAGTTTTAAAGTTAGTTATGTTTTTATAGTACTCTTGAAGTGTGAGGATCTATACGTGTGTCTCCGTGGCAAGAGCACTGAATTTGGAGTCAGGGGTCCTGCATTCAATATCCTTCTTCTGTCAGTTATAAGCTATGTAACCTTGAACAAAGCTCTTACCCCTCCTGTGCCTCAGTTTCCTCATCTGAAAATTAATAGGGCTAAACCCAACTAACTTCTAAGTTATTTCTAAACTCTAATCTAAATCTGTGTTCCTACAGTCTGTGATCTCAATAGTTCTTTCTGTCTGGCTATAGATTTTGTGGCTATAGTCATGACTACCCAGGATGTTTGACAAACCAAAATATCCTCCATTGCCAGGCTACAGAATAGACAGTTCAACTGTTTCTGGTCTGGGGAGAAGTATGAGGAAGTTGCCACCCCAGTTTGGTACTTGGTGTCCTGGAAAATATTGAAGGCTTGTACATAGTGGCTGATTCCATGTGTTCTAAGAAGCAGGAATTGTGAACATTTTCATTGGGAGAGCCTGACATTTGTGGAATATGGTTCTGTATCTCCTATCTAGTGGCCTGGTCTCAGTCAGTCAGTGAAATCAGTGTAGACTTTGCCATGTCCATCCTGTTAGATGCCCCATCCTGAACCCCAGCCCTGTCTCTGGAACCAGGAGGAAGCAGACTGGAGGCCAGTGGGGGAAGGGGGCAGTGTTTTTTTGGTTATTTGAGTGTCTCCCTACTCTGGTCTCACACCCCTGCTTTGTTTCCTCTCCTCACAGGCTGATGCCAAGATGGTGTGTGATGTAGTAAGTCGAATGGAAGACACGGAGCCCTTCTCTCCGGAGCTGCTCTCCGCCATGATGAGACTCTGGGCAGACTCTGGAATACAGGAATGTTTCAACCGTTCCCGAGAATATCAGCTTAACGACTCTGCCAAATAGTGAGTGTCCCAGGCCATCGGGGGCAGCTGTGACCACTGGAGCAGGGATAACCCGAGTGGGGAGACACAGGGCAACAGTCCTATCAGCTGTAAGATATTGGAGAAGCTAGATGGGAATGGAGAAGGGTTCAACCTCTGACGGGGAAGAGGGCCAAGACAGACAGAGAAGGGGTTGGGGAGGGATAAGAAAGGAATTTTAAAATGAAATTTCCTAAAAGGCAGAGGTCATGTTAACACTACAAAGTGCAAAGTACATCTTAGCCCAGATATGGCATCTAGCTCAGCAACTCTATTTCTATTGAGGACCCCTAGCAAGCAGGAACCATGTAAGGAAAAAAAAAACCCTTTTTAAGGTGTTTTATTTGTTTTCAAGAACATGTGAAACTCTCCATATTCACCTACTTTTAAACTTAGTGCTAGGAACCATAAAATTCTAATCAATAAATTTGATAAGAAATTAAAGTACTTCATTTCTACATTATGCTCAACTAGGTGAAGGGGGAAAGGAAAAGAGAAGAAACAGATACACAGAGAGAAGAGCAACAGAGACAAAGAAAGACATATACACTCACCTGAGCTATTTAAGATGTCATTACTAAAGACTTAAAAAAAATCTTTTAAAATCACAGAATCCTTAAGATCATAGATTTAGAGCTAGAAAGGACCAGAGACTTCACCTAATCTTATTTTATAGATTGTGTTACATTTTTGCAATGTTGACCATAAATGGGTACCTCCTTTTCATACTTCACATGCTGAATGAAATTAAGCTAAGGACCAGATCTACCCTTTGGACTGGAGGTCTCAGACCTCTGGTATTAACTCATGAGAGCTAATGACTGTAAGATAAACTTCTGCTGTCAGGGCTTCCAAAAAGTTTATCAGTGTACCACAGGAGCTTTGGGGCCTGGTAATTTACTTAAGGCAACATACATGCATTCAAACTGAAATCCTAAAAGCCAGGTATATACCACCAACATTAAACCAAATCACTTGGAAGTAAGTTAACTTGAACCCAGTACGTGACACATAGTAGGGTCTTAGTAAATGCTTTTTGATCTATTTTCCTCCTGACTTTACCCACTCATCATTGTCCAAGTATATAGTATATCCTGGCGGTGATAATACTTCATTGTGACGACTGGCCTAAAAGGGACTTCAGTGAGGCCAAGAATGCCAGATCTGTAGACCCAGGCATTTAATAGAGCATGAGCCCAAAACTGGTGACTCCCACAAGATGGGCTCTTCAAGACAGTACCCAATGGGCCCATGGAGGTGCCCCTGAATATCTATATCTGGAGACTCCTCACCCAGAGCCCAGTGCCAATGGCAGAATTGTGGGTACCAGATCCTGGTCCTTTTCTTGAATTTGGGGCCCACAATGTGCAGATACTATCTCTATAGAAAAGGGAGATTACAGATTGCCCCTCTTTAATGGCACCTCTATTAACAATATTGTGCTGGGCAGGTGCATAGCCTCCTCTGGAGGGCTCTGGTGTGTCCTAGACATGGAGAGTGAATTGGCCTGGAGCCACTGGAGGGTGTTTTGTAATATACACCCCTCCACTTCTGCACATCTTGATCTGCTGCACATCAGAAGAGAATTCATGGTTTCAGTGTTGTAACACACTCTCACCCTAAAGGTCTTTTCACAGCATCTGCTCTAATCAAAACATCTGATTCCCTGAAATTTGTTTCTTTTTTTATTAATTTATTTTTAGTTTTCAACAATTACTTCCATGTTTTTGAGTTTTAAATTTTTCTCTGCCTACCTCCCCAAGACAGTATGCAATCTGATATAAACTCTACATGTGCATTCCTATTAAACATATTTTCACATTAGTCATGTTGTAAGGAAGAATTAGAACCAATAGAAGGAACCACGAGAAAGAGGAAACAAAACAAAACAGAAGAGAAAAAAAGAGCAAATAGTATACTTCCAACCTGCATTCAAACTCCATAGTTCTTTCTCTGGATATGCTTAGCATTTTCCATCATGAGACTTTTGGAGATGTCTGAGATCCTTGCATTGCTGAGAAGGGCTAAATCTATCAACATTAGTCATCACACAATGTGGCTGTTACTGTGTGATGTTCTCCTGGTTCTGCTCACTTCACTCAGCATCAGTCCATACAAGTCTTCCTGAAATTTATTTCATCCAAGGAAAGCCTGTAATTTGAGTGTGTAATACCTCGTATCTAGAAGACGTTCAAACCCCTTGCCCTCCACCAAATCCAACATCCTATAGGTCGATCTGGAAACATAAGGAGAGAATTCAAATCATAGACTCATAGACAGAGCTGGGAGAGGCCTTAGAACACAAAATTTTAGAGGGTGGAAGCAACCTTAGAACATAAAATATCTAGAATAGTCTCGGGAGACCATTTGGTCCACCTCTCTCACTTGAGATCAAGAGAGAAAATGACTTGTCTGAAGTTACATATTGAGTTAGTGAGAGAGGCAGGACGCAGACCCAGGCCTTCTAATCCAAGCCTGATGCTGCTGTCTCCACAAGACCATTGAGTTCATGTTTTAGACCCCAGTCCTGCCCCAATAAGTAGTAGAAAGCACAAGAAGTGGGCTTCATAGTTTCCCCTGGGATTGATAGTGACCACAATCATGTTCCTAGAGAATCCTCTTGCTTCTGGGATCCAGAGTGGCTGCCTTTCTGGAAATGTCATTACAGAAGCCATTTGGCTAGAGAAGACTAGGACCCATTCTCAGAGCCCCTGATAACATTCCACAAGGACCCCTAGTCTTTCCTCACATCCCATCTCCTGGGATTTCATTCTTCCACACTGACTGACACACAAAACCTTCCCTCTCTCTTGGGTGCTTTCTCCTTTCCATCTTGTGTTGCAAGAGGGATTTGCTCTAGGCTGTGACTCATTCCTCTAGAGCCCTTCCTGAGCCCCCAGTCATGCAGTACCCATGTCATGTGGTATCAGTAATATTAAGCATAAGCAGGTTCCGCTTGTGAGCCAGGAATCTATACCACACAGTTCAGAAGTAGAGTGAACGCAGTCCAGCAGCTGCTGGATAGTGCAAATTGTAAATCAACTATTGAAGGTTAAAAAAATTAATCCCTGCTTTTCACGAGCTCATATTCTAATGAATTGAATTCTGATGACAGGAGACCTGGATTCTAGTTCTGGCTTTGTCACTGGCTTGCTGTGTAACCCTGGGCAAGTCAACTTTTCTGGGCCTCAGTTTCCTCAAGTGTCAAATAGCCATAACCCCTGGAATGCTCAACTCCACCCGGGTGCTGTGGATGGTGATCAAAGGAAATGATGCATGAGAAAGTAGAAAGCCCTATGCAAATGAGACGTTGTTATAAAAATAATTACAATGCCCTACATTTCTTACATGCTTTAAGCACTAAAGGCTTAACATAGCCATTTAAAATAGTGAGTTTCTACTCACTGGATGCCTTTAGGCCAAGGTTGGATGACCACTTATCGGGTACAGATGGTACTCCATTTACTCAGTTTCCATGTTTTTGTTCAAGTTGTTTTCTTCACTACAGCATTATGTGGCAGGTAGCATGAATATTATTATACCCATTTTATGATAAAGAAACTGAGTCTCACAAAGAGTAAGTGAATTGTCCATAGTCACACAATAGAGATGTGTCTGAGCTTGTATTCAGCTCTAGGTATTCTGGCTTCAAGTCCAGTGTTCTTTCTGCTATATCATGATTTCCTATTCTTTATTAATTAATAGCTCATACTTATATAGCACTTTATAGTTTACATATACTTTTGTGGGCTGTGATTTTGTTCTGAGCCCTTAGCTCATATATGTATATGATATATATATATATATACTTAAAAATTTGTAAAAGTTATAATTTTTTAAAGAATTCATGAAACAAAAATATTTAAAGTATTCCTCAAAACCATGAAAGGGTTAAATGGCTGAGAGGTTGAGTACTTAGGAGGCTCAGATTGCTTTCCAGCGCCCTGACTCCAAACCCAAACATTTCAATTCATTCATTCATTCAAGGACAGGTACCCACCTAACTAATTCTCAGCCTGTGTTGGGAACTCCAGTCTGGCACCTCTTTTAGAGTGGCTGCGGGGAGAAGGTCAGACATATAGGAGATAAGACAGAAGAAGGGAGAACCAAGACATTCCGCACCCAAAAGCCCCAAACAAGCACATTGTTCTGTGTTGCCTGCCAGCTGGCGAGCTCAGCCACTCCCCTAGAGCAGAAGAGGGTTCTGTCTACTCGGGAGGCCTGTGGTTATTGAGGCATCTAGCCACCAGGTGGTGCATGGGAGAGGACTTTCAGCAAACTCAAAAAAAGAAAAGAAAAGAAAACGAATCCTAGAATGTCAAAGCTTAAAAGACCTTAGCAATCTTCGTTTTACATATGAGAAAACAGAGGCCCAGAGAGGGAAAGGAGCCTACCCAGTGTAACACACCCTGTCTGTGGCAGAGCCAGGACTGCCAACTCCTGATCTCTAGGCAGGGTTTCCTTCCACTCCCTAGGGCTACCTCCCCATTGTTCTTTGTTTCAGTAAACATCCTGTTGTGTCTCACACAGTGCTGGGGAAGAGGAGAAAAAAATGTCTGGATCCATTCTCCTCAGATTCCATCAGAGGACCCAGTTTTGAATCTCAGCTATGCTCTTGCTTGCTGATATTAAGTGTGGGCTAGTCACTTTGCTCTGCGCCTCAGTTTTCCCATCAGTAAAAAGAGGCAATTGGACTAGACAGCCTTGTACGGCCCTTCCTGCCCTCGATCTGTGAGCCCATGATCCCAAATGCCAGATTTTATAAGCAGGGAAATGAAGACAGTCTGTCTTCAGGGTTGCCCCACCCTGCTTTGACCACACTACTTACTGCTCAACAGGGAAAGAAGAGGGTATGGTGTTTTTGCTAAAAGGTTTTTTAACACAAATGCCCCTTAGACAGCCAGCCCTTCTAGGGCATTCATTCAAAATACAGTTCCATTTTTTAAGCATTCATTTTACATATGACCCTTTAAGAACATGTCTGTTATTTTCAATGAGGTTCACTTTTATCCTAAGGAGGTAGGAATCTTAGGAGCATATGATTGATACAATCATAGGCTCATAAGGCTTAGAGCTAGGAGGAAGCTCATAGGATATGTGTGACCCTCTGAAGGCGAACAGGCTCCCAAAATACAACCTCTCCCTTCATTTGTAATAACAGTGAGCCGTAGGCTGTCATCATCACAAAGAGTACCAGCTTCCTCTTCAGCCTTTTGTCCCCAGGATCAATCAATCAATCAACAAGTATTTATTAACCACTTACTATTATGTCAGGCACTGTGCTTGGCAGCCCTTAAGATACAGACAAAAATGGACTGGTTTCTGCTCTCAAGGCACTTAAAGTGACCAGCTCTGATCTTGTGGAGTTCCTGTCCAGTTTCAGCCTTGAGCCAGATATCTATCAACCATTCGCTATTCTCCTTTCTGCCTCAGTTATTCCCATTTGCTCAATGGAGAGAAACCAGTTAGGCCAATATCTCAGAGACATCAGGAGGAGTGCAGGATCAGCTAATGAACAGGACCAGGATATGGATTGAATGGAAGAAATAATAATGTCACAATGCCTTTGTGCTCTGGCCATAAGAATTGAGGATTGAGGGACTTGAGGCAGTTTCTTTAATGTGTGGCTTCAGATACAAGTCTTTCATTCACAGGGAAAGAAAAGGACATTTTGAAACCTGCTCTCTAGCATTCCTTTGTACCTGCTGAGTTTATGGTTCTAATAAACCACACAGAACACTAGGGTTCATAAAATTATTGGTTTTAGAATTAGAAAGGACTTTAGACATCATCTAATCCACCCACAGAGAAGAAAACTGAGACCAGAGAGGGGGAAATGTCTTGCCCAAGATTGTGGAAACTTAATATGCATTGATAAAGAGGGGCAGCAATGGGGCAAAGGGGTAAAATAAAATCATGAAAAAGGGGCTGGATTTGTATTCAGAGGACCTCAGTTCAAATCCTGACCCTGTCACCCACTCCCTGAGTGACCTTGGGCAAAGCATATCTGGGGCATAGTTTCTTCATCTCTACAAATGATGGTGTTAATGTCCCTTCTAGCATTAAATCACTGATTCTATGATGAGAGAAATAACAAAATCAGAATCAGTCATACCCTCTGTCTCCAAATTCTTGCCTCTGTACTATAGTGACCCTCCTCAAACTGAGGCCCACCCCTCTCCCCAGGAAGCCAATCAATCAATTGATAATGATTTAAGGGTCTACTGTGTGCTAAGCCAGCAGGCAGATGGTCTTCCTCTTATCCCCCCCCCCATCCACATTCTTGGCTTCCTCCAAGGGGAGAATAGCACTAGTCCCCTCCAGAGGAGGACATCCTACACAACCCAGAGCTGGCTAGAGAAAGGAAATCTTGCTTTTTCCCTGGCTCAGTCATTCCCCCTCCCCCCACCCCTGGAGCCCGTGTTGCCCCTATATTCCCCACACCTTTCCTGTCACTGATCTAGGCAAATCACAATAAAAGGGAGCCAGGATGCTGAAAATGCAATAATGAAGGGCATGATGCCACGAACAGAACTCTGTACTTAGCACCATAGAGTTAGAGCTAAAAGGAATATTAAAAGATATCTAGCCCCATCCTTTCATTTTATAGAAAAGGAAACGGGTCCAGAAAGGTCAGCTGTCTTTTCTTAGGTTACAGGTAGTAAGAAGCAGGGCTGGGATTTGAACCTGGGTCTTTTGACTCCCAGTCAAACACTCTTTCCCCTGCACCATGATGCCTCTCTTAGATGACTCAGTTTCATGTGGTTAATAATACTTGTACTAACTGTCTCAAAGGGAGGTGGTTGTTTTGTTTTTTTTAAGTACTTCATAAACTTTTAAAACACTCCAGAAATGTGAGCTGTTATTATTATTGTTGGCTGTGTTATTGCTGGTTTCCAGGCTCTTGCCAAAGGCCATTTTCCAAGATCATCAGTTTCCTTAGCAACTACAATTCAGCCTTGCCTTTAACGCACTTGCCTGTAGGCCTGAAGCAGCTGGGACCAATTTTTATCCTTATCACAGTATCATAGCTCTACCACAGGAAGGGACTTAGAGGCCATCTCGTCCAACCCCCTCATTCTACAAATGAGGAAACAGAAGCCCAGAGTGGATAAGGGACTTGTCCAAGGTCACATAAGTAGTAAGAAACAGAGCTAAGATTTGAAGGGAGGTCTCCTAACTCTAAATCCGGCACTGTTTCCACTGTGCCACACTGCCTTCCTAGCATACCCCTTTCATAATTTGAGAATATCTTGTTGCTTCCCCCTCCTCCCAACTACAAGAAGACCCAGAGCAGGACTAGTTTACCCACAACATGGTGGTACCGCTACGTATTGTGGCAAATTACCAAGAAAGCCATCCTGATCCCTAATACCTACCCCACTGGCCCTCCAGGGTACTGAGGTATCCACCATTAGAGATGCATTTTGGGTTAAGGTTTTGTTTCTCCAGGAGTAGGTATTCACTGCATATATTCCTGAGAGAGGTAACAATACCCCCTCCACCTCCATTAGTTAAATGAGTTCATCAGATTACTTGGATGAAGAAAGATGAGAAAATTTCACTTAAGAAGGGGATGGGAAGGGAGCTACCCTCAACTTCAGGAGGGAAGGCTAAAGATCAGAGAAGAAAGCTAAGACTGGAAGATGTGCAATAGGAGTGGAAAGAGCAACTCTGCAATCCCCGTGCACAGCCCCAGACTCCTGAGGCCACTCTCTGACCTTCCTGGACCAGCTTCACTCCTCTCAATGCCCAGAATCCCCTGCTTTAGCAGCAGGGTGGTAGGAGGTAGTTGGATGGTCAACTATCAACGATAATTCAACGTTGCCTTTAATACACTTGCCTGTAGGCCTGAAGCAACCGGGACCAATTTTTATCCTTAGAGTACCATAGTTCTAGAATAGGAAGTACTACCCTGGAGGGCTAGACTTTTCTGGGAAGGAGCAGCAAGGGGTCAGCATCCCATGTCCCTGCCACATGGACTCACCTATAACCACCAAGGAGAGTGTCCTGGTATAGCACAATGGGGCATTGTGGAATGGAAGCACCTGGGGAAAGAAATGAGTCCTGCAGCATCCTGGGTGGGTAGGTAGGTAGATAAGTATCCCCCAAACCCAATTGAGCTTAGGGATTTAATGGAGGGAGTAGCTGGGAACTCAGGCTGATGAGGCATTGCTGCGGGGGTTAGACGTGGTTACAGGGCAAGGAGCCATTTGCCTCTCTCCTATGAAGGCTGAGGAGTTCAGCCTATTTGTACAGAGCTTGTGTCCTACCATGATTTAGTGAAAAGGACACTGGATTTGCAGTGAGAGGACTTGGATTCACATCTACACTATGTTATTTACTTCCCTGTGTGCCCTCAAGTAAATTACTTCACCTCTGCACCTCATGTATAAAATGAGGGCATGGCCTGCATGACTTCAAAGGTCTAAATCCTAGGATACTCTGATCTGGTCCATTTCTTCCTGCCACCATTAATGACTCTTCCTGTTGCCTTGAGCCTGAGCCTTTCCAAAGTTCTGAGGACCCTGGAAATCAAGGCTCCTGAAAGAGAGCTCAGCCAAGTTGTCCTAAAAGAATGCACCTATCCCCAGTGTTTCTAAGGACATTTCTAGTGGAATAACAAAAGTATAACTCTCTACTAGTGAGAAATAAAGACAGCACATGGAGTGTCAAAAGCCATAAAAATGAGTACAAATCTCTTTGTCTAGTTGAATATTGGTGGCTAAGTCTGCATTGCACAAAGCTCTTGTGAGGCTCCACCATACTTGAACATTCATTCATTCAACAGACACTAAGTATCTACTATCAGCATAGCACTGCATTGGATGCTGAGGGAGAAACACAAAGGAACCTCAAGAAATTAGTTAAGAATATTAAAAAAACTGAAATACACATTATCACATGTTTAGTGCCTTAGAACGTAGCACATAAATGTTATGGGAGACCCCAATGGAAGATTAAGCTTAGGACTCTGTCATGAACAGCCATGAGATCGTTGGTCAATCAATCAGTCAACACATATTTATTAAGCACCTACTATATGCCAGACACTGTGCTGGCCATTGGGGTTTCCAAATGAAATAGTCCCTCCTCAAACAGCTATTGGCTGTGCTATTGGCAATGCTGAGGGTCTGATGAACTTGGAGTAGGATACCAGGAGACATTAGCTCAGGCTGGGAGGATCAGTAATGGTTAAAGGAAGGAAAAGTCAAGCCAAGGATGTATGTAAACCAGGCTATCAGAGTAAGGAAGGTCACTCCCACTGTTGGGAGGGAGAGTTAGTTTCTACTGGTCAGAGGCTCTGGTAAGAACCTATAGCCCAAAAACAGCCTGGGACTGTCAGTTCAGCTGAGCTGGTCCTGCACAAAGGTGATGGGGAAATTCTGGATAGTTCCCAGACATACAAGGGAAACTAAGACAAAGAAGTGTCGGTGAGGCAAGGTCAGGAGCTGCCATCTGCTCAGAGAGTTTTCTAAGAGTGTCCTTGTCAGTTTACATGAGCAAGCATGTTCCTTTTATGTTTTGTCTCTTCCCAGCTACCTAGACAGCTTAGATCGAATCGGAGCCGGGGACTACCAGCCCACAGAGCAAGACATCCTCCGAACCAGGGTCAAAACCACCGGCATTGTAGAAACCCACTTCACATTCAAAAACCTCCATTTCAGGTAAGGTCAATGGAAAATATCCAGGGTATCTGGAAAGCGTCTCAAGGCAAGTAGATGGGCGATCCAGATAAACAAGGGCTAACTTCATGACCAAAGGGTCAGTTCAAGCTAGTGTTAAGAGATGTTCCAACTTTACCCTCCTCCTCCTCCTCCTCCATCTCCGCTGCTGCTGTAAGGAAGCACAGGCTCAAGACTGACATTCAAGTCACTTAGTCAGCATGGACCAAACACTGATTGTTTTCTCAGATATATGCTGGGTACTAGGGGGTGGGGGTGGAGGTATAGAAAAGGAGCAGACATGGAGTCTGTGCTCAAGGAGCCTGGGTGTGGAGGTAGGAATTAACACATGGAACAATCAGAGACTATGGGGTCTTGTATGTTAAGGAGTACAAGACATAAAATGAGCATTGATTGAAGGAAGAAAGGAAGGGTAAAAGGTGTTTATCCTAGAGAAGGGAAGATTCAGGAGAGTTATGATATCCGCGGTCGGTATTTTGGAAAGCTATCCTTTGGAAGAGGTATTAAGATTGTTCTGCTTGACCTCATGAGGCAGAAAAGCAACAGCTGAAGAGAGGCAGATTTAGATTTGATGTAAGGAGAAACTTCCTGACAATTAGAGATAGAATGAAGTGGAATAGGCTGTCTGAGGAGGCCGTGGGTTCCCCCTCCCTGAAAGTTGGTCTTTAGGCAGAAGCAAGATGGCAGCTTGTATTTCACCCAGAGTAAATAGCCACGGTGGCTCTTCCAACTTTAAGATTCAGTGTTAGTCCAAGAGCCCGCAAGTATCTTCAGATAAGAGACAAACTGGTTTGGGCTGGAGTGATCATAGGAAGCTTCAGTGTGGTGGGCCATGAGCCAGACCTTGAAGGATGGGTAAGATTTGTATGGGTAGAGAGAAGGAGCAAAAGTGGGCAACACACCAGATGTGGTATCAAATACTGCTGTGGGAACTTTAACTTCCAGGGGAAGAAGACCAGGTCCCTGTGACCAGAGCAGGTGGTTATTTCAGTGGATTGAGCAGAATGGGGGTGGAGGAGAGACAGAGGAAAAATACACATTGTCTGCTCCCTGAGAAAGGGGTGCCTCCACCTGTGCTCGTACAGGCCCAGATATTTTGAGAGGGTCCTAGAGGATCTGGTGTGACCACATCTGGGTAGGAGCAGTCAGGGGAAAGGACCATACATGTTCCACTACCTTCTGGAAAACATCCCCTTGAAAAATCCAGAGCCTAGGAGAGGGGTAGATATAAAGTGCAGGGCTCTCAAGTGTCCTGAATGTTGGTGCCAGCTGACAAAAAGGAGGAAGGGGTTTCTTTGGAAGGTCCTTGCAGAGGGTGTGGGGGTTGCATGTTGGATTTCTCTCAGGATTGAAGGAAGAAACAAAACAGACGTTGCCCCATTTTCCACGAAGCCCTATTCTCCCAGCCTGGATTCTTGAGATCCTGCCAGTTCTGTTCTTTCACTGATTTTAGATGTCCATATTTCTGTACCTTGGGTTGGGAAGGTGGGGCAGGAGGTTGGAAAGTCCATTTGCAGCACTGTGGCTTCTCCAGAGGGGTCCCAGGAGAAGTTGCTGATGTAAGAGGAACAGGGCTCCTTTGATGACCCATGAAAAGCTGTGGTAATTGTCCCAATTCACAAGAACTATTGATGAGGACACATGTGGTGGGCCTGAGGGCCTAACAACTTTGCCCTACAGCCCAGTAATCTGCTTTATGTTCTGAAGGCCTAAAGCCATGAACCAAGGGGATCTTGGCCATACTCCTCAATTAAAGCACCCACTCTCTAAGGAGCCTGATTGCCCTGCCATTGCTGTTAAGACAGGCCCTGTTACCTAGGTCAAATGCGCCCTGCCCACTCTTTGGGCTATGTTTATGGAGAATGTGGTAGAGTCCATAGCTGTCTCTGAGGCCTGGAGACACTTCCTAGTTACCAAAAGAGGCTGGGCCTAACCTGTGACCATGAGCTGAATGAATCCTGATAGTTCCTGGATTCATGAGGGGTGGCCCATGGTGAGATCATTCGGCTAGAGTTACGTGATTTCTGAGCCACTGACCTTCCAGGGCCATTCCCAAAGCTACTATTAGTTAGGGGGTCTGGGAGAGCCTAGAAAGTTGATTTGACATCAGGCTGATTGGTTTGTTCACTCCCAATTTAATTAGATTGCAGATCCCAAGAGTTAAGGGCATGGCTTTCTCTGCATTTGGGGAAATGCTGATCCTGTCTCCCAGAGCAGCCCAGGTTAGCCTCTCTGCTACAGTCAGTATGGATGCTCTGGGGCTATTGAGTCATCTGTAAGCTGCTCCCATCATCATTCCCCAACCTCTCCATTTGTTAACCAGTTTTGAAGAAAAATGTGGTTCCCCTTCCCACCCTCCCCCTGCATTGGGGGTCTACTGCTCCTGCTGTCCCTACAGTACTGAAAAGAAGACCAAGGCGTCAGAAGGCTGAGGTCCTAGACCAATTCTGCCCCTAACTCATGGTGTGACCCTGAGCTTGTGACTCCCCACCCTGGGTCTTAGTTTCTTCATCTATAAAATGAGGGTAATATTGACCCTAACTGCCTCATAGGACTATTTTAAGGGTTGAATGAAGACAAAATAGCTTCAAAAAAGTTAACACCACCATATAAACATAAGGTTTGTCATTCTTATCTTGAAAGGGGGGGCTCCTCTTATCAGGATCTTGAGTGTGATCCAAAGTACTGTACTGTTCTGTACTCCTAAGCGCTTTGAGAATAGCCCTGGAAGGACAGCAGCTCAAAAATCAAGTGAGAGGACACTCACTTCAGAGAAGAAGAGTTTTGACGACAGAAGGTTCTTATGGTTTACCTCCTAGATATATTCCTGCTTTCAGGAGCCATGCCATCGGGGGTGAGGGGAGCCCTCTGAGGTGCAGAGCCCTGCACTGGCCTTCTGGGACACTGGTTGTAAAAAGAAATTCTCAGTCTCCTGTCCCCTTCTCCCATATGCATACATCATTATGGGGGCAGGCATGGGGTGAAAGTTGGTGATGCAGAGAGAGAAAATAACCAAATGCTCCAGCTCCCTGCCTCGGGCATGGAATCATCCCCTCTCCCCGTCTCTCTCTGTCTCTTAGGCTGTTTGATGTTGGGGGGCAGAGATCTGAACGCAAGAAGTGGATTCACTGCTTCGAGGATGTCACAGCAATCATCTTCTGTGTCGCGCTGAGCGGTTATGACCAGGTGCTCCATGAAGACGAAACCACGGTGAGTGCACCTACCCAGGAGGATATTGGCCCTGGGCCTCCTTGGCACTTGGTGGGAGGTTGGATCCTGGCTGGGGGGCAAGTTCTCTGTGGTTCATTTCATAATTTGAACCTGGGACAGGGGAGAAGGAAGAGTCAGTTTCAGTTAGTGTTGAACCCAAAGTGGGTTCGCCTTTGGTTAAAGAACACTGTGGATTTCTGGTTCCTATTTGACAAAGGCCAGTGGTTGTGAATCATCACTTAACAGCCAATGCAGAAAAAGGAGGAAAAAATTACTACACTCAGGAAGATCTGAGATTGCCATTAAAAACTCCTGTGGATTTCTTAAAAGAAGTTAGGCCTAAGGGACAAGCACTTTGCCATTGAATCATGTAGTTGATCAGAAAGAAATTAGTCAAGGCCTAAAAGAAATCAGTCTATAGGCAAATAAGGAAAATAAAATGGAAACTACAGTTCATAACCATGGTAGTCCCCTCTTAGACTTTGCCAGAAAAGCCACTGGTGACTGTAGCCCTTTTTGGAAAAGCCAGGGTCTTCAAAGAGTACTTGATTCTGGATAGTTCTAGACCAATGTATGTGGTACTTATTGAAACTTGATCTTAACTGGCTTAACTGGCTCATGTTCTAGTCAGAAGAAAATTACTTGGTAATCTCTGGTACCAGCTTTAATCTAGAGCAATTGTTTTTAACGTGGAGTCCACAAACTTTTAAAAAAAAGTTTTTGATAATTTTAATTTAATTGGTTTCTTTTATAATCCTATGTATTTTATTTTATGCATAAAAACATTGTTCTGAGAAGGGGTTCACAGGCTTCACCAAACTGCCAAAGGGTCCATGATGTTAAAAAAGTTAAGAACTCCCATGTTTAGAGCAAGAAATATAGTTTCAAGGATGGCAAAGCAGCCTGCCACCAAAATGCTGTGTTAGTCTTCCAGCACTCTTTAGAGTCCTTTCATATAACCATATCCCACCAGAGCACACAGCCTCCCTCCAGCGGAGGCCTGCCTGCTTCAATCAACGTGGCTGCTGTGGCAAGCCAGTGTAGTGTACTGGATTGGCCTTCGAAGCAGGAAGACCTGAGTTCAAGTCCCACCTCTAAAACCTTCTAGCTGTGTGACTCTGGGCAAGTCATGTAGCTTCTCAGTACCTCAGGCAGCTGGCCAAAATGAAAAGTCATAGAGTGACGATCTGCATTGGCAAATAGGAAGTTCCTTACACAAGTGAAAATCACAGGTGCAGTTGAAAAACAGCATTCCTACCCTCACCCCTCAAAATGGCAACTGTACTTAGAGCAGCCAACAAATGGCTGAGTGTTCTAAGAGCATTGTCAGAGATAAAGTGGGAGCTGTGGTGACGTGATTTGTACTTTTATGGGAGGGCGATGGTTGCTTTGTTCGTTTGTCTTCAAAATGAGAAGTGAATGGGCCACTTCTTTTATTGAATCGCTACGTGCTCCCCACCAGTGCTGATGAGGGTCTGATGATGGTGTGGTAGGGAGATAGGGTAGTAGGAGAGAAAGAGCCCTGGACCAAGAGTCAAGAGATCTGAGGTATAATGTTGGTTCTTTCACCTACTCTCTGTGTGACCTTGAACAATTAACAACCTCTCTGTGCCTCATTTTCTTCATTTGTCAAATCAGGATGATATTGGCCCTGTCTAACTCCTTGTTGTAAGGATCAAATAAATAGCAGTGGTCATGAACACTCTTTAAAAATGTAAAAGTACGTTGAGGATATAAAACAGGATTAGTATTATTGTGTGTGTGTATACGTGTGTGTTTGGAGAGGAGACGCTGCTTGGGTAAATTGAAATGGACCAATTTTGGTTGCTGGGTGATCCATTATGCCCAATGCACATATCTAGGGTCAACTTCATTCCTCAGACCTAAACTATCTCTGAAGCTGGGCTTTCAGCACCCATCCTGACCAAGAAAAGGGGCTTTATTCAGATTCTGCTATGATAACCACAGAGCTGGGCACATGGTGGGAGCTTGGGGGTGGGAAGAATCCTAGCTGTTGAAACTCTTTTTGAAATTCATTTGTCCTATGGTTCTATGTTTTCTCCCAATAAGTTTCATAGAAAAGATGCTTGAGCCCACAATAATGTCCTCTGACAGCAGGGGGAGGAAGGAGGGACATCAGAGAATTGGCCTCTGCTTTGTCCAGGTGCATGTGGATTGCTTTTCAGGAAAGTATTGCCTGGACTTCCTGAAAGCCAATCAGTGCTTGCATTGGTGTTTGGTTGTCTTGAATAGTAGAAGGGGACTATGCATCCCTGAGGAATAGATGGGCCAGTCCTTTCATTGAACTGATGCTCACTCCTCATCAACATTAACAAGGGGCCAGCTCTTAAGGGATCATCTCTGGTGAGGTGAGGAGACTATCAGGGTGCAATGGGAAGACTGCTGGACCAGAATTCCATTGATCTATCCTGTCTCTGTCACCAGTTCACTGTGTGAGCTTGACAAGTCATTTAATCTCATATCCCCACATAGTATTTGGTTCCTCACCACCCTTACTGGAATTTGGAACTGTTTCCAGGGTCTGCCTTTGGCATCGTACAACCCTTGTGGTCACCTTTGTGCTTTATACTTTTAGCAGCAGCTGAAGCTGCCTGACTTGCAAGGTCTACACACCATTCTTCTGATGTCCAGTCCCAGAATCCACATATGTCAAAGTGAGGGATAGGCATGGAGACCTTGGACAGTGTAAAGTGGATTGCAGACAGGTGTGCACTATAAGGAGAATGGACAAAGATTGTTTTTATTCCAATGGCATTGTGTTTTTGGAAGCTGAGTGGGCTAAAATGGGCTGAGATGAGCAACTGAGACTTGGAGTGACATAGACAGGGCTAATGGGCCAGGCTGGACTGGGCAAAGATGGGATGGCCTAGGGTCAGGTATAAAGGGCAAGAGGATGGCAACTGGACTGCATTGTAGAATGCTTTTAATTCACTCTGCTGCAATGTCTAACCTACCAAAAAAAGCCTCATGATTGACCAAAGTGAGTTAATAGTCATATTAATATTGGAAAAGGGCTCTTAGTTGTGGAAGTTGCCTGTAGCACAGACATATTTCTAGAACTAAATATGAGGTGTGGGCTGGAAAAAAGGTTCAGAAATCCAAACGAACCTTTAGATATGGCACTGTAGTGGTGACAAGACATCTGGGCAGCACCATGCCATCTGGATTATGCTACAGGTGACCTGGTGCCTTTGGACTAATCCTAGAGGATCCAAGTTCTAAGAGTATCCATCTAGGGTTATCCTCAATGAGGTGTGGAATCCAGAATTTCATTCCAATTCCTAGCATGCTTTGGTAATTGTGGGGCTTCTCTTGGCAATTTTATCTCTTCTCTGCCACTTATAAGCTGATGACAAGGTTCCTGGGCAAACATATTTCTCTCCTAGTTCTGTCTTTTCCTTCCTGTCCTCCCCCTCTCTCTTGCCTTTCTAATATTCTTTCTGCCTCTTCACTCCTAACCAGAGCCCAGGGAGAGACTGAAGGGAGGAGTAGCAGGGATGACTGATTGGTTGATGAAGAGGAACAATCCCAGTTCCTTTATTACCCTCCCCTTTAGACTCTAGGGGGAACCAAAAGGAAAGTCTCTTCCCACATTCCTCCCTTCCCAACAGCCAGCCTCTCCCCACCTTGAAAAATGTCACTTGAAAAACAAAATTGAGCACTCCAGGTGTCAAAAATAAAATGCTATATCCAGAAAAGGGATTTAAGAACTTCGATAGTGTATTAATTAACCTTCTTCCCCCAATGGGCAAATGGAGCCAAGAACCAGCAGCACTAGAAATGTCCAGATTTTTCAAGATGGGCTGGTTTGTTTGGTGCCGTCTCATCAGAGACTAAAAGCCTTGAATTTTGGCTGGCCCAACCTCAGAGGTTTGGGGCCAGGCTAGCTCTTGCACATGCTTCCCTCCTTGCCAGGTTGTGTTCTGACTCATGTCTCCAAGGGTGCTGGAGTCACCTCATTATGAGAAGTCCTTGAATCCTCTCCAGGTCTCATCCTGTACCCTCAGGACCTTCTGTGATGCTAATGCTTTAGGGGACAGCTAGACTCTCAATATACCCCAACCCCAGAGGCTCCCTGCAGGGCTGTTCACCAAATTTAAAGATGAGATTAGAATAGAAGGAAGGGACAGCTAGGTGGCGCAATGGATAGAGCATTGGCCCTGGATTCAGGAGGACCTGAGTTCAAATCCAGCCTCAGATAAATAATACTTACTAGCTGTGTGACCCTGGGCAAGTCACTTAACCCCATTGCCTAGCCAAAAAGAGAGAGAGAGAGAGAAAAAAGGGGATGAGGAAAGGTAGAGTGAGGAAAAAGTTTCAGAGAACTCCTCCCAGCCTCCCCAACCCCCACCATTATGGGCAGCTAGGTAGCACAGCATATAGAGTGCTGGATTTGGAGCCAGGAGGACCTGAGTTCAGATCCCACCTCAGACAGTAGCTGTGTGATCCTGAGCAAATAAATCATTTAACCTCTATCTGCCCATGTGAAAAATGGGGATAATAATAGCACCTACCTTGCAGGATTGTTAGGAGGATCAAATGAGATAATACGTGTAAAGTGTTTTGCAAATCTTCAAATGCTATATAAATAAATGTTAGCTCTTTTAATAATTAGTTGTTATCTATAGTCAGAGAATGGAAGCATTAGCTAGATGCTATGGCTGGGGTGGCAGTAGGGAAGATGAGAAAGAGATAGATATAAAATTGGACATGTGCACATTTTATATATATATACATATATATGCACACACACACACACACACACACACACATATATATATATATACACATACAAATATAGATATATGAAATAAGGTCTGTGCCGTGTGGAGCTTACAGTGTGATAGGGAAGGAAGGATAGACATACATGACCAGCCCCACTAGCTACAGAAAAGCACGTCCACAGTCTGTGGGCTCCAGCCTCAGGCCTCCAGCACAAATTTGACCTTTGACGATTCACTGGGAAGAGAGGGTTGTAAATCCCTCTTTGCTACAAAAAGGAAGAAGAATAAAAGCCTGAGATGTATTCCACCCATTGAAAGTACCCAAGGGCCTCCCACCCCAGCCTGAGGAGCTGCTTCTGCCTAAGATGGGGGCCAGGGACCTGTAAAACAAGATGATTTTTCTGCGTTCACATAATACCCACTATCAAAACACAAACTTCCAGTGGTGTGGGCCCTGGCCCATAGCTGGTACCATCCAGGGACAGAATCCAAACTCCAGTGGGGCACGGCCCCCCACCCTGCCTGCCATCACCCTGGGACTCGGGGGTACCTCTCATCCTTTCCTGGAGAGCACAGCTCTGGCATCAGCCCCTCGATCCAAATGTCTCCAGGTTTCTGCACACCACAGCCTTTCCTCCACTACCTGCTCTTATCTTCCCCAACAAAGACCAAAAGCTGAGCATATTTTGAAAGAGCCACCAAATCTGTCAGGTATGAAGCCCTTCCCCTAAATCAAGCCAACCCCATTAAGAGTTGAAAGCAGCAGAGGTTTGGGATGATGCGGGGTGACTTTGCTGTGAATTCCCTTCTTTCCCCAAGAATCAATCACTTTGCTTTCATTTGTCCTTTTCATCATCCTCTTTCAGTCTCCATCTCCATATTCTATAACCCGAAAGCTACTCTGGCTTCTGTGTATTTAAACCTCAGGACTCATTGGCCAGCAAGTTAATACTCTCCCCCAAACCACAAGCTGATATGGACAGGTTAGCCTACTGACTCCCCGTCCAACCCCACTGATTTTCATGTGTTTTTTTTTCTGTCATTGTTTCTGCCTTTTGTTCCCCTGACTTCCTATTTTTTTTTTTAGTTTGGTTTTGTTCTTTTGGGTTTTTTTTCTCCCCCAACTTTTTCTTGGATCATCATCCAGAGAAACTCATCCTCCCAAGATCCACTGATCATTTCCCCTTTAGTCTTAGTCCAGCCAGGCAAAAAATGAATCACCCACTGGCAGAAGTCACAGCAAGATCATTACCGAGATGTCAGTACCCCCTTGGTGTCTGCTTCCAACTCTGGATTAATTCGAGGATCTCACCGGTCCTCGGTTAATGATAATCCAACTGAATGCGTGCAACCTCCAAACCCTGCTGGCAAAACTGAATGAAAACGTGATAAAAGAAATCTGCATGAGCCATGTTTCCATGTAGACATGTTCAATGGGCAACAGTAGTCCCCTTCCCCTTTACATGCATGATGCATGACCACATATATTTACATATATATGAGCTGGAATCCTTTAGATTATCCAGCCTCCCCTCCCTATCACACCCCTGAAACAGCCCTGCCCCAGCCCTGCTGTCCTTGCCTGTGTGTTGAATGGAGTAGGGACCGCATCCATGTACGTCCGTGTGGACCATTCTGTACCAGTCCTGTCCAGGCTGCACATTGCGTAGCCTCGATCTACTCTCCCTTGGCTTTTCTCATTGTCGGTGGTGATTCAGCTGGCTTGGATCCCTCTGCATGTCGGGTCGCCCTGGGGGGTGGTGCCCTTCCCCTCATGCCCCTCTCTACTCTGTTACAGAATCGCATGCATGAGTCCCTCAAGCTATTCGACAGCATCTGCAACAACAAGTGGTTCACGGACACCTCCATCATCCTCTTCCTGAACAAGAAGGACATCTTTGAAGAGAAAATCAAGACATCGCCACTGACCATCTGCTTTCCTGAATACACAGGTAAGGCAGGGGCTTCCTCAGGGAGCAACGTCAAGTTTATTGTATTGGGGTCAGCTCTCAATTATTTGGACTCATGCAGTTGAACCGCAGATAACCCAAAACAGCAGATAATCCAAAAATCTTGCCTGGATAATATACTATGCTGAGGGTTTGAGTGCAGACTTTTTCCCTAATACCATTTGACCTAGACAAATATTAAAATGGGTAGAGGTTGTCAGCAGCAGGGAAAGCCAGCCACTATTTGTAATCCACTGAATATAATAGCAATGGATCAAGAGATGGCCTTAGGGCCAGGAAGCACGAGGTTCAGGTCCTGCCCCTTTCACACACTGGCTGTGAAATCTTGGGCTAGTCACTTAACATCTATGTAAATATAAATATAAATATATATTTATATATATAAATATATATTTATATATATAAATATAAATTGACCTTCATTGGTAGAAGGAGTTTCCTTATCTGGAAATAACCTGGGGCACCTGGGTGGCACAGTGGATAGAGCTCTGGGACTGGAGTCAAGAAAACCTGAGTTCAAATCTAGCTATAGATACTTATTATCTCTGAGATTCTGGGCAAATCACTTAATCTCTATTTGCCCAATTTCCCCTTCTGAAAAATGGGGATAAAGATGGCACCTACCTTCTAGGGTGGTTGTGAGGATCAAATGACATAATATTTTTGTAAAGCACTTAGCACAGTGCCTGGAACCTATTGGGTACCATATAAATATTTGCTGTTATTATTATCATAGGATAATAGATTTAGAGCCAGAAGGGACCATGAAGTCTCCTTATTCTACTGATGAGGAAACACGTCCAGTGTGATAAAGTGATTCATTCATAGTCAGATGGGTAGTAAGTGACAAAATCAAGATCTGAACTCAGGTCTTTTGACTCCAGAGGCAATGCTTTTCCCACTCTACCAACTCTATCTCAACAGAAAAAAATCACAGGTCCAGTCCCTATTCGAATCCCTTCAGAGAATGGTAAAGTGGAAGAGTTTCTGAATTTGGAAACAGGACCTGTATTTAAGTCCCAACTAAGCCACCTCCTAGCCATGTGACTTTGGGCAAATTGCTTCCCCTGTGGAGGCCTCTGTGTCCTTCCTCTGTACAATGAGAAGGTTGGACTAGATGGACCACCAAGACCCCTTCCAGCTTCAAATGCTCTGGTCCTACAATTTGCATGGGAGTTTTTAGTCACTGACAGTGAGCAATCTTTAAAAACACCAAGGGATCTCAGGCCCCGGGGAAATGAGCACCAGCATCTCAGAGAGCACCAGGTACCCCTGAGGTGGCTCGATGGAGAGAGGGAGAGAGGGGACAACGTAGGGTCCCCTAAGGCAGATGTGCCCAGTGTCTCCACCCTGGGGGCCCCTGCCCTAGCAGAAGTTAATGATGCCTTTGGTGGTCAGAGAGAAAGAAGCCTGTTCCCAAACAGTGACGTCTCATGAGCATATGGTGTTGTGTGGAAAGATGACAAGATGCACATCAAAGCCCCTTCATGCTATTCCAATCTCTCTGTGCACATATGGAGGGGCAACAAAAGGAGAGAGGTGGTTAAAGCTGAGTGAGGTTAGTTAAAATGGCTTCCTGAAGGTGAGTGTTAAGCAGAATTTAAGAGGATATAGAATGATAATTGACAGAATGCTGGATTTGTATTCAGAAGTTCTGGGTTCAAATCCTGCCTCTGCTCATTATGCTCTGTATGACTACGGGCAATGATGTAACCTCTCTGAGCTTTGGTTTCCTGTTCTGCAAAATGAGATTGGATGAACTCCAAGTTCCCTTTCAGCTCCTGCCTATGCAATCTCTGTGCCCTCTGACTATAGCTCAGTGGGGCTCCTGAATCCTTCATTTTGCCTTTCCTGGGCCCTGTCCACCTCCCATCTTCAAGAGGCCTTGAGTTCTCTCTAGAGCCAGAGAAAGCAAATTACATTTACTGAGCAGTGCAGGATCCTGAGGAACCCACACCTCCAGATTTGGAGGAAACCAAGGAAAGAGGGAAGGAGCATAGCAGTGAAATCACCCACAAGATGGACTAAATGGACAGGTCTTAGATTGTATCCCTGTATCTTGAGGATAGAAGGCACCCCACTCTACTTATCCTGAGGCAGGAGAGTATCTCAAATAGAGCAACCCATTGCAACTGGGCCCCATTAAGGCATTGTTGGGCTCCATGGGCCATGTTTGCCATAGGCCTTCTAGAGCCCACTGTCAGTTATGACCATTTTTTATCCACCATTGGCCGCTTATTCCGACTAGATTATCCTAACTCCCTGCTTCTCCTCCTCAGTCTTCGTAATGGGAATGCTACAGTCAGGAGACCACTAAGGACCATCAGCCCGTCAAGCTATTAAGAAGAGGCTTGGGTCAAAGGTTAGGCCTATGGAGAACATGAAACTACTTTCCAGAGTTTTTCTCAGGCCCTGGAGTCTAATGAGCCCTGTCACCCTCACTTCCAGTTCACACATGCAAAGGGGTCATAGGATCATAGATCAAGGGCTGGAGGGGACCTCAAAGGTCATTCAAACACAGACTTAGAATTATGGATTTAGAACTAGAAAGGACTTTAAAGGTCCAACCCCTCATTTTTTAGATGAGATCACTGCAACCCAAAACATTAAATGACTTGGCCAGAGTCACATGGGTAATAAGCATAATCATCAGGATTTGAACTCAAGTCCTCAGAGCCAGTACTCTTCCTCCTGTGCTAGGCTACCTCAGATGGAAGTGCCAGGCCCATGGACTACAGTGACGTGGGCCCATTATGCCACCTTGCAAGGAAGACAGTATTTTGCATGGCTAGTTCTAATGTCACCCAGAGGTGATTTGGTTACCAAGTGAACATTTATGTCTTTAAAAACATACCATTTATTTAAGAGATACAGAAAGGAAGTGTTGCCTGATGGATAGAGAGCCAGCCTTGGAGTCAGCAAGACATGGGTTCAATGCCTGCCTCTGACACATCCTGGCTGTGTGACCCTGGGCAAACCACCTAACCCCTTAGTGCTCTAAGCAATGCTTTAAGACTGTGAGGTAGAGAAAAGACATAACCTTCATTGATAGAGTTTCCTCACTTGGAAATTCCCTGTACCAACGAAATCACCGGTCTAATCCCTTTCCTTATTAAGAGGTACTATTTTTGAAGGCTATTGAACAATGGTATTCTGAACTACAATCTGGTTTTCTAGAGTCTTGGGCTTGATAAAGGAGAAGGGAGGTGTGTCTCCACGTGGTATCTCAAACCCTATTCATTGTGCCAAATGGCAGGGTCCTGCCTCCAGACAGACTTCTTTTCCCACCCCTGGACAGGGCAGATTGTGAGATCCTCAGTACTCAGGCAGCAAGAGCCTCTCTAACTTCTTGTGTCCCTGAATGCTCTGCCCCTTCAGCATTCTCCCTGAAGCAGCATCTACTTAGTTATACCACAGGAATTGGGGCTCTTTCTGAGATATATGGGGTAGGCCCTTCAGCTCAACTACTGTTTCATGGCCTCTATGACCATCAACCCTAATCGCAGCCTATCAGCATATGTGTTAGATATGATGCCTAATGGATCACTGCATATAAAGTGCCCAGACAAAAGGGCCCCTTTTCCAAGGCCAGAGCTGGAGGACTTCGCTCTCCTTGATCAGGCATGAGGGCATGCAGGCAAGAGCATGTCTGATCAATTTTGAGCCAAGTTTAGGGGACAGATGTGGAGGTTGACTTGAGTTCAAATCCTGATAATTAGGCTTATTACCCGTGTGACTCTGGTCAAGTCACTTAATGTTTTGGGCTACGGTGAATTGGCCAGTGCCCAGGAACTCAAAGAAGTAAGCAAGTCCCTCTCCCTCAGGTCAATATTTGCTGCCACCACTACCTGGTGACGTCAGTGGGTTGTTTGACTGCAAAGAAAACAATTTACATTTTCCTTAGAGGCAGCAGGAATAGATATAAAGGTGAATTTAAAACATCCCTGGAAGATGAAGACCAGATTGCAGGGCTGAGCCACAAAGCTCCTACGCCCCAAGGTTATCACCCTTCTTTATACTTCTAAACCTGACCTCCAAGGAAATCCAGCTGTGGCCCCAGCTTCTGGGCTGAATATGCAAACCTTCTCTTCTAGAATTCCACTGAGACAAGGTTGAGGCTAAAAAGCTGATTTATTAAGAAATTACAGAAAGAAGGAAAATAAAACAAAATAAGTCATGAAAGATCAGAGCTACTGTAATATAAAGAGATAGCAAGAATCTTCTGTTTAACCTTGTCTAACCCTGTCTGCAGTCTTATTCTCCACCTTGGTTTCTGCAAACAGCTCCTAGCAAAAAAAAAAAAAAAAAAAAAAAAAAAAGGTGGGCGAGGTGGGGGTGGAGAGTACTGTGCCTGCTTCCAAAAGAAAATCAGTTCTTGGAAAGAAAAGACATCTTGCAGGTTTCAGCTCTGCACCCCTGGGAGGCAAAGAAAAGCTTTCCCTCGGCCACCTCAAGCAGCTGGAATCTAGAAGATTTCAGCTCATAATCCTGCTGCAGACACTTAGCAGCTGTGTAACCTTAGGCAAATCACTTAACCTCTCTCAGCCTCTGTTTTCTCATCTGTAAAATGGGAATAATGATAACAGGGTTATTGTAAGGGCCAAATTAAATAGCATATCTTTATCATGATGATGATGATGATGATGATGATGATGACCTCCAAAACTCCTTCCCCAAAAAGGGTTTCTTCATTCCTAGGGATAGCAGTGTTAGCTTTCAATGAATGAATGATCATTTATTAAGCACTTAACAGTAAGTGCATAAGCACAACGCCTAGCCAATAGTAGGCACTGAATAGTGCTTATTGAATCTCTGGAAGTGGTATGACCAAGGGAGAATCTACTTATTTCTGATACCTATACCTTTCCTAGGAGCATCTAGGTGGGGGCCAGGCCTAGAGTCAGGAAGACTTCTCTTCCCGAGTTCAAATCCGGCCTCAGATACTTACTAGCTATGTGACCCTGGGCAAATCACCTAACCCTGTATGCCTCAGTTTCCTCATCTGTAAAATGAACTGGAGAAGGAAATGGCAAACCACTCTGGTATCTTTGCCAAGAAAACCCCAAATGGAGTCACAAAGAGTCTAAAACAACATAACAAGAATACCTTACCTGAGGTCACATTAGCTTTTTTTGGCTGCCTATTGATTCACATTGAGCTCACGATCTGCTAAAATTCTGAAATATTTTCCAAACTAATTGCTGTCTAAAAATGTCTCCTCCATCTTTTACTTATGAGGTTGATTTTTTTTGAACACTAGGGAAAGATTTGGGATTGGGAGGTGGGGCAAAGGGGAGGGAGTCTCTTCAATTTCCTTTTCAGTGATCAGAGAAGCAATATGGTGAGGACAGAGAGCTGGCCTCAAAATCAGGACAGAAGGCCTGGGCTCAGGTCCCCATCTGACACATATTGGTGTCCTCTAACCTCTAGGTGCCCCAGCTGACTTTCTAACACTCTAAGTTGCAGAGTAGGTGCTGAGCTGCACCTACATTGGTAGAGGAAGTTTCCTCACCTTCAAGTTCCCTTTACCAGTGAAATCATGGCCCTAGTCCCTATCCGTAGGGCAAAGTCTGACACATTTATGTTCATCAGATTTCATCTTATCAGATTCAGTACAATTCAGGCCAATTTGAATCCCAACTCAATTATCCAGCTTATTAGCTATCTCTCCCAGCTTTGTATCATCTGCACATTTAGTCTATGCCTTGATCCCAATGCTAAATACCAAGAGGTCAAGCGCAGATCCTTGGGGCACTCCATTGAAGACCTCCTGCTTCAGGAAATCAAACCACTAACAACTTCTCTGAGGCTCACCATTCAGCCAGTTCCAAATTCATCTACTTTATTCACCATCTTACCCACATCTTTTCCATCCCTTTAATACTCTCCTTTAGAATCCTGCTAGGGATTGAAGGCAAGATCACTGCCCTGTAGCTTGCAGACTCAGATCTCCTCCCTTTTTTTGAAAATTAGAATATTTGTCATTTTCCAGTCCAGCAAGAGCTCTTCAAGGTTCCATGATCTTTCACAGATATCATGAACCCCGGTTCAGCAATCACATCTGCAAGTTCTTTCAGTCCCCAACAGTGGATTTCATCTGGAGCAGGTTATTTGAATTTACCAAAGGCAGCTAGGCACTCTCTTCCTCTTGGGTTCACTTCCCAATTAGCTGTTTTTGTTCTGTCCTTTTTCATCTAAAGGTCATTTTCCTCTATAGAAAAAAAATAAAAACAAAGTGAGAATTCAGCAACTCTGCCTTTCTCTTGTAAGTTATCATCATCCCATACACTGGTCCTATGCCTTCTTTGCTCTTTCTCTTTTCCTCAATGTAGTTTAAAAAAAAAAAACAATTCTAAACAAAACCTATTTGTTGTCCCTAGCTTTCCTTCTCAGCCTCAACCCATTCTGAGCTTTGGCACTCCCGAGACTATTATTCATCTTCTTTTCCACACCCTTGCTTCCATCTTCTTAAAAATTTATATCTTCTTAAAAATCTCAGTTGGTAAGATCCACAGTTGGATAACTTCTAGTTTCTTCCTCATAGAATTGTTTCCCTTTGTGTCATCAGAAATTCCCTCGTGAGATTTTTTTCTATCTTTTCCTGGGCTGACTTCTATAGAATTTCAGCATATAGCTGGTTTTCTCTTACGCTTGAGAGATTTAGGCACATTTATGGTGCTTGATCTGGGTTCCAGAACTGATAGTTATACCTCCGCTTATTACCATTTACCTCTCTTGGTACCCAAAACTGCTTTTTCTCTGTCTAAAACTACTTGCTTCCCCCTGCCCAAACAAAGGGGCTTCCCCCTTTCTTATTTAGCCTCTTGCACTCAGAACCCTGCATCATCTCCCAGAGAAGCAAAAGGCCTAGAAAATCTGCATGATTGATAATCTTCCTGCCAATCAATTTAAATGTGCCAAGGGCCAGATTGAAAAGTGGTGGAACAGGTGACCAACAGTATCAATAGCATTTAATGAACATTTATTAAGTGACTACTGTGTTCATGTCACTGTGTTCACTGCAGGGTGAGATAAAAAAAAAGCATGGGTGTGATAAGTCACTATCCTCACAGAGCTTACAGAAGTAGAAGACACCAACACAAATAACCATAATATACAATCTTGTCACCAATGCATTAGAGAGTTACAAAACAAAGTATTCTGTAATGGTCAGATGCAATAGTCCTTGCTGACTTGAGCAATCAAGGAAGACTTCTCGGATGAAGTTGAATTTGAGTTGGGCTCTTTAAAGAAGGTCTGGAGAAAAGAAAAAGGGAGGACATTCAAGATAACAGCTGATATAGCTAATATATAGCTATATAATTTATGTGGCCCTTACTATATGCCAGGCATTATGCTAAATGCTCTACAAATGTCATTTATTCTCACAACAACCCTGGGAAGTAGATGCTATTATAGTATCCCCATTTTACAGATAAGGAAACTGAGGCAGATAGAAATTAAGTGACTTGCCCAGAGTCACACAGCTAGAAAGTATCTGAGGCTTGATTTGGACACAGGTTTTCCTGTCTCCAAAAAATAGCATGAAAGAAAGAGTTAAGTATTGTTCCTAAGACAAAAATCTATCTACTTTCTCAGGGGTGCAGATTGCATAGAAATGGAATAATGTAAAATGAGTCTAGAAAGCAGGGAGATACTAGATGTTGGAAGGCCTTGAATGACAGACAGAGAAGTTTATATTTTAGTCAGTAGTCTACTTCAAGATGGAATGGGCTGCCTCAGAAGGTGGTAGATTCTGCCTCCCTGGAATTTTCCAGGCAAAGACTGAAGGACCATTCACCTATCACCAGCGTTGAAAAGGGAATTCTTTTTTTTCTGGTATAGGTTAGACTAGGTAGCGCTGAGTTCCCTTCTGAATTCTAAAATTCTGTGATTCTGTGAAGGTTTCAGGGCAGAGAAGGGAATGACATGACCAGATTTACACACAAAGATTAGCCCAACAACATGTGAAGGATGGATTGGAGGGAGGAGAAAGGGGAGAAATGGGAAAGATGTGTTGGGGGACTATTACAATAGTGGGTCATCCCAAAGGCCTATACCAGGCTGGTAGCAATGGGAATAGGGAGACGAGAGCAGACGTAAGAGACATTGCAGAAGTGGGATCAACCTCTCTCACCTCTTGGTATCTTTTCAGGGCTCCGTTTAGGTGCCATCTTCTGCCAAATAAAACCTTTCCTGATCCCCCCAGTTATTAATGCTTCTCCTGCCACACCCTACCAGAATTACTCTGTATTTACTTATCCATGCACATGTTGTATCCACCAGTAGAAGGTAAGCTTTCTGAGGACAAGGATGGGTTCATTTTGTCTTTATATCCCAAGCACCTTGCCCATAGTAGGTTTTTAATAAATGCTAGTTGAATTGAGTTGAATTGGAAAATCAGAGAGAATCTCAAGGCTGTAAATATGGAAGCCAAGTTGAATAGTGGTTCCACAGGCAGGAACAGTGAATTTGGGAGGAGGAGCAGATTCAGGGAAAAGGTAATGAACTTGGTTTCATCCAGGTAATTGTGGAATCTTCTTTTCTGTTTACAAACAGAAGAGGGTCTCATTTCTCTGGTGTGAATTAGGCATGGCCTTTTCTGAAGACAGAGGGATCAGTGACATGGCATCTTAAGGAATATTCAAGGGCTAGGATTTATTATCTTCATTACCATCATTGTAAAGGATCTGATTAAACCAGAAAAGATATATACCTGACTCCAGTTCTCCAGGAGATGACTATCTGTATGCACTGGTATTGACACATTTCATGGTAGCAGGACTTGTAGTTGTCTCCAAGTGGGTGACTTTATTCTGTCTCTGTTTCTCTTCTAGGCCCCAACTCCTTCACTGAAGCTGTGACCTACATCCAGTCCCAGTATGAGAATAAGAACAAGTCAACCAACAAGGAGATCTATACACATATCACTTGTGCCACTGACACCAATAACATCCAGTTTGTTTTTGATGCTGTGACAGATGTCATCATTGCCAACAACCTTCGTGGCTGTGGACTCTACTGAGCCCTTAGGCCCCCAACCTATCCCTGAGACCTCCCCAGCCCTGTTCAGCCTCCCTGGTCCCCTTTTCCTTTCCCTCCTTGGAACAAGAGTGTCTATACCATTCACATTACTCTTCCTCACAAAGAAGGAAAAATAGAGGGGGTGGGGTGAGGGAATGGAAGGAGAAAACTTCCTATCCCATCCCTGTTACCCCTCTCAAGGCACATCATGTCCAAATTCTTCTCCAAGCCTTTGTTTTTCAGACGTAGGAATGGCAGCCAGGATTTGTGGTAACTGGTGGCAGGGCGAGGGTGCCCGAACAGTGTGGGACAGGGAGGGATTCAGAAGAGGACAAGCAATGAATCCATTCATCTGCCTCCCAGGCTCACTTTTCTTAGTTTAATCTATTGAAATGTGTATGGTAAAGGTGGTCTCTTTGGGGCTTCAAATTGGAAGGTTACAGGTTTCTTGACTACTGTTCTTGCTTTCTGGGTCTTCTTCAGTTTGCTGCAAGTTTTCCAAACTCCTAAGACAGGGTGTAGGCCTAAGCAAGCATCTCTTTGGTGGGGGTTTCTTCCTAGCTGCACCAGTGGTGGTCCCTGTGTTTGAAACAAGAAAGGGTCAGGACCCATCAGGGATACAGACCAAAAGCAGAAGCAGCCGTTCTGCTCTTTGCTCATGTCTCTCCCCCAGGGGCAGCATTGGTGCCAAAGCTCAGGATGGGCTGACCTTCCTGGAGCCCATCAAACCATTAGGCAAAGCGTACAGGGGTTTGGGCCATGCCTCCCCTCTCTCCCTTCCTCCTCCCCATCCACCAAGTGCAAGTGGTCTAGATTCCTCCCCAGGACCTCAGGCTGTTGCCCATTTGCTCCCCAGGAGATTGTACCATCCCTATACTACTGGTCCCCATGACCAGTAATCAAATGATTTCTGTTCCCATCTGCCTTCACCTCTGGGTAGAATCATCCACATTGGCAGCCCCTAATGAGGAAGGGAAGACAATGGGGGAGAGGGCAAGACAAATCTGTGTGAAACGTTGGGGCTCTGCTGACTCTCTTGTACTCCCTTCTGTCCTTCCATGGTACAAGATCCTGGAAGGCTTCATGGAGTCCCATCTTGAGAGTTCAGTCTATAGCAGCTCTGTATGTGGAGGGGCCGTGGAGGAGAGTTGAGAAGTTGCACAGTTGAGGAAAGAGGAAATCAAGGAAGAGGGCAAGAGAGAGAAAGGAAGGAGTGTCCACTTAGAAAAAGCAAAGGATCCAGAAGGGATCCAGAATAGAAACTCCAAGTCCCCTGGCCATTTTTCTAGTAGTATTACTAAAGCCCAGAGAGAGCTGCTTTTCTCTGGGATTGTTTTTTCCTCTCATCCTATTCCTAGGGAAGTTGCTTATAGGATCTTGGGGCACTAGGAGAAAAGGGGAGAAATGAAATCTTCTTGAAATAGTGGTTCATGAAAGTGTTCTGGGCAGCTGTGAGCAGAGGCTTCCAAGAGATAAGTGCCCTGTACTTCTGTAGGAGCGTATGGACCTCCCTGTGCTCAATCGAGAAGCATGGAGAGAGCATCACACCCCACCTCCATCATCCTAGTGTTGTCATGGGAAACCAATGAATTAACCACCAATCTTTCCAGGCTTCTGTTGAATAGGGGATGGAAAGGGAGGAGGACCGAGGGCAGACGTGGTTCATAATCCCTACAGAATTCTCCCTCCAACTGGAAGGGGAAGAGTAGCTGCCTAAGCTGAGATGTAAGGCATTCCTAAGAAGTACCTAGAAAGGACCCACCAGTACCCAACTCTCCTGAAGAAAAGACTTGGTCAGGATGCCACAGCTTCTTTCACTCAGTCAGGTAGTCAAGAACTAGGACCTAAGGGCTGGGAGACTTGATCTGTCTTGGAACTTTCTCATCTTTCTAATTCTGGAACCTTCTTCTGATCCTGACACACCTCAGAGAGTGGGTTCAGTGGAAGGCTGGGAGCTCAGTTAGTGAGGAGAACATTGGCAGTGAATGTGTCCCTGTAGGTGATAGGACTGGAGGTCAACTCTTGGCCATGGAAGCATCTTCCATGTTCTGTAGGCCACCTTCTGTGTCACTGATACAGTGGAGCCCTACAACAGCTAACAACATTTAACCAGAATATCTGGAGATTGGAGTTTGCCCCTTCTGGGTGGTTACTGCTGGTGGCTATATGTTGTATGCAGTCCAGCTGGGTCACAATACAAACTTGGACCATGAATCCCAATCTTCTGCTGCTGTAGAAATATGCCCATCGGCAGCTGAGTAGTAATCGCCCTTTGGGAGAAACATTTCACTCACATCCTCTCTTCCAGGGACCAAAAGCCTGGATTTTGCCCATTGCATGATTTAAGCATTCCGTTCTGAAGGGGTGCAGCCCCAGAAAAAGCCCCCAGAGAACCAGGAATATTCTTCCCTAGTTCCTCTGTGTTTGCTGAGATGCCCTTTGGCCTCTCCCATGGCCTTAATGGTCTGGAAATAGTAAAAGGAGGAGCTGCCAAGAAGTGGTGACTGTGCGTCTCCGGGTAGCTACCTCAGTGCCAATGGAGGAGTTATTTCTCAATATTTCTCCTCTGCCCTCTCTCTCCTTCAAGCCCTGTTGTGCTTATCTGAACCCCTAGGGGCCATACAGTGAATAGGCACAAAGCACAAAGAAGAAAGTTAGCATTGACCGAATGCCTGAAATTACTTCCCCTTTTCCCCCTCCCCACCCCCATAGGCCCCAATACTTTTGTTACTAGCAATCAGTGTTGTGTTGCTCATTTTGTCCATTGATAACCTGAGTGACATTTCTAAAAACCTATCTAGTGTTAATGGCTCCTACACAGGGCAAGGCTCTACCATAGGGCTTTGGGGTCTTCAAGAGAAGGTGGGAGAAGACAAAATGACAGCCAGTTCACTTAGCATCTCACCTCCATGCCACTGTCTGTCTGTGGTCACCAGGTTCATGAGAGCCCGAGAGAAGCAGTGTGGCCTAGGAGGAAAAGCAGGGAATCCAATACAGAGACCTCGCTTCTGCTCTTGGCCAGTCCAAGGCAAGACACGGCCTTGCTGTGCGGCCTTGGGCAAATCTCTTCCCTCTCTTGGCTTCAGCGTCCTCATAAGTAAAATGAGGCAGTTGGACTAAAAGGAGCCCTAAGTCCCCTTTCAGCCTTGACCTTGTATCAGTTTGGTGTGGTAGATACAGGGCCAGCCCTGGAGTCAGGAAAACCTGGGTTCAAGTCTCACCTCTGACATATACCAGCTGTGTGACCATAGGCAAGCCATTTAATCTATGAGAACCCTCTAAGGTTAAGTTACAGATGAGTTTCCATATCTAGAATACCAATAAAATCACTGTTCTGGACCCAAAATGATGAATTTGCCTGGCTTTCTGGACAGTTCCTCTCCCAACCTTCCTGGGCTGCTATTCTTACTACCTTTGCCATAGACATTTCCAAGCCCCTCACTGGAAACATAGGAAGCAGTGAAATGAGCTCCAGTTCCTGAGTGAGGGGCTCTGGTTTGGACTCCCCATCTCTATGACTTTGTCCCTGTGTGTGACCTTAGGCATGGTACTAACCTTCTCTGGACCTCAGTTCCTCATCTGGAAAATGAGGTTGGATTGGATGGTCTCTGTGGTGTTTTACCCCTCCTTCCTATGACTCATGCTCCCTTTTCAGAATCCTTTAATTTCACTCACTTATAACTTCGAGGACACCCCCACCTCACCTCTACTCACTCCTTTACTTTCTGGCCACGAGTTTCACTGGCCCCTGGGCCCATCCAGCCCAAGCTCTGGTAGAAAAAGGTGTCTAGTGACTGTCAGATAGCCTGGCTTTGTTTCCCAGGACACAAACACCCACTTAATAACTCAGTAATTACCCCCCTCACCACAGACGGTATAATTACATACTCTGGCCTGGGAGGAATAATGACAGTGGTGCTTGGTTGTTTCTGTCATCAAAATCAGTGTAATCACAAGAGCCAGAGAACACCACGTGTCTCAGGGGCCTGGAGCTAGCCCCAGGAGCCAGCATTACCCTGTGCTGTGTGCCCATGGCTCCCTTAACGGACTCTGGCACTGTAATTACCTGATAGTTAGTGACAAGGAGTCCTCCCAAATTCATGGCAGTGACATTTCATGAAGACAGATTACCTACCACCGCCCCCCACTCTGGTTAAGGGCTGAACGACAAGAAGTGAGGCTTGTCCTGTGTAACCCTCATGCTCCCTGAAGGGGTGAATGGTTCCAGGGTGTTCCCTCTCTCCTGGGGATTGGTGATTTTCAAAAGATGAGTCTGGAGAGGTCAGTTCTTGCTTAAACAAAAGAATGACTCTCTAATGGTAGCATTTCAGGCCCCATACAAGCCAGTAGAATAAAGGGAATATTTTTTTGTCAGGGAGACCTTTGAAGTCAACAGTACCCTGGAGCCAGGGATCACAACATTGTTAAATTTTCAGTGGGAGCATTCAAACTTTAGAAATCTGCAAATGCTAGAAATCAGGGCTTGATATATTTTTTTGGTTGATTGTCACTCTAGACTTAAGAAAGCAAAGGAGAAAATGTTGATTATTCAGATTAAACTTAAAATTGCGTCCTGTGAACATTTTTTTTAAATTGGAGAGCTGATTGTTAAACATTTACTAGCATACACTTGGCTTGCAGTGTTCCTCAGGAATTTATTAAACTCCTTTGTAAATGATGAGGTTGGTCTAGATGATCCCTGAGGTCCCTTCCAGCTCTCGGTCAATGATCCTATGACTTATGACACTGTGTAGGTCTCTATTTTCTTGACCTGCTTGGCCCCTAACATGGTATAAGAGAAGGAGCACCTCCAGTGGAAGGTGTTCTGAATCTGGAGTCAGAGGAGCTGAGTCAAACCCCATTTCCGATGTTTGCTTAAGACCTGTGTAACCCTGGGCAAGTTACAACCTCTCTGGGTCTCAGTTTCCTCATCTGTAAAGTGAGAAGGAGGTTAGACTCCAGGGCCAAAAAGATCCCTTCTACTACAGATCCTTTGAGACATCAATACATACTAACTATGGGGCCTTGGGCAAGTCACTTGACTCCCTGGGCCTTTGTTTTCTCAGATGATAAAGGAAGAGATTGAATTAGATGATCTTCAAGGTTTGGCATTGGTTGGTTTTGATCAAGTCCCCTGGCCCAAGAATTTCAGTTCATCTGTTTGGATTTTCTTTAGGAATGTTTGATTGGAGCACTATTGTTTTGGAATGGGAGAGGTGAGAGAATAAGGTGAAATATAGGGTTAGAGTAAAGCCAGTTCACACCAGAAAGCCAATTGTTAAAATTTTAGAGTGAGCATTTATACCTTGGAAATCGGCAAATGCTACACATCAGGACTCAATTTATTGTTTTGTTTGTTGTCTAGACTTAAGAAAGAGTTGGAGAAAATGTTGATAATGCAGATTAAAATTGAAAGTGTGTTGTGAGTACTTTTTTTTTCTTCTGGAAAGCCAGGTGTTAAACATTTACCAGCACTCCTCTAGGAAGAACTTGGAGATTTGCCCATAGTTGCCATAAGAGGAAGGGGACTCCCATGTCTTTTTCAATATCATTAAAGCATCTTTCTAAATTAGAACCTAATGTCTTACCAGTCCACTCTCACCCCTTACCCCTCACTCCTTAACCCATGACCCACGTAGGAAAGTAGGTGAAACTAACCCCTTTTAAAATCAGCTTGTCCTGGGTAATGCCTCCTGGCAAGATTGCTCTAAAAGCCGGAAGTAGCCCGTGGGAGCCAGAGGCAGTTAGTTTTCTGCCCAGAGTGTTGAATGAGTGACACCTGAGCTATTTGGTAAGTTAGGGGATTCCTCAAAGCTGTGAAATAGGGGTCTGGAGATGAGCCCAGCTTCTTGGGGGCACTAGGCCCCCTCTCATCTCAGGGCTTTTGAGCATTAGGTCTTTGGCCATGGGGATGAAGACCAAACTAGCTACAGAAATCAGCCAGCTTGGGGTAGTTGTCTAGACATGCAGATGGGATTGAATAGGTAAGTCATTGTGAACTGGGAGGTAAAAGTTAGAAAGACAGTGAAAGGGAGGTGGGGGCTAAGGAATGCTATTGGCCTGTGGTTTGTGAAGGCTTTTATCAGCACCACCTCTCCCAGTGACCCAGTCTCTACCAAGGTCCTTTCCTTCTCTCTGCACATCCCTTACTGGAGGAGTCTGGTTTCTGGACAAAGGTCAGAATCCTTGGGAGAGAACAAGAGCTAACTATACCTCACCCTGAGGAGGCCCCAAGTACCCTTTCTCTTTCTCCCAAGGGAATGAGCCAATTCAACCTCCTCTTCCTGACCTTCAATATGCTAATCAAGGGGTGAAGCTCCAGACCCCTGAGACCACCCCTGACTCAGCACCTGTAAGACAGTCCAGTGACTGCTTTCAGTTTTAGGAAAATTCTCTTTGATGTTCTTATCCACTCACACCTATAGTTGGTCATGTTTCGCAGTGTAAGATTAACTGGGCTTTCTTGGGCAAGAAGCTAGACGTTCTCATGCTGTCATGGACTCATCTTTCTTCTGTCCTCCCCACTACCACTATCCCATTCCTGGCTATTTAGGCAGCATGCCTGAGAGATGGCTACTGGCTGTCTTAGGATCAGTGGGAACCCCATAACTGTTAAAATTCAGGAAAGGCATCAGGGATGAGCCTTGACCCTGGTACCTCCTTATTCATGCTGGGTAACCTGATAAAGTCTAAAATTATCTATTAACAGAATAGAGAATTCTATAGCAAGGATGACCCCCAAAGTGGTCTCATACAGCCGTTACCCTCCTCAAAGTTCAGTTCCTAAGTTATCCAACATTGGTTTTGGAGATTTCCAAGGTTAGTGATTCCACAGGCTCCAAGTACATTCAAGTAGGGCTGTCTAACCCACATCCTGCCTGCTGTCCATTTCCTCTTCCTCTGTTCTGGTACATTTCTTAGCATGCTCCAGAAATAACCCATCATTTCCATAAGTATTATTATGAAGTCACTCCTGTCTTCTTTCCTTTGAGCTAAATAATTCTAGGCCCCCTCATGCTTTTGAGAAGGCAGAAAGGGAGTTGGAGGTCTAGCCTTCTTGCTCTTTCTTGGCTTTTTTCTGGTTCTTCATGGAGTAAGTATCCTCCAGCCTACTCACTGGTCTCACAGGAGGATCAGGACCAAGTGCAGAGTTTAAGGGTATAGGGAAGTGTTGTAGAACTGGTTTGGACTCTTGCAGAGACAGAGTTGATCTTAGTGTGTAAAACAGATACTTCAGGGAGCATATTCTGTCCAGGCCACCATGTCTCCGTACTGGGGCCCTTGAAGAAGGAGTTGACCATCCAAAATGGAAAGGACAAAGTTGTAGTCTGAGGGAAATCAGACCCTCAAAAGATCAACTAAAAAAGGATGTGGACGAGAAAGAGATGCTTAGCACTGGTAGTTGTCTAGAAACCAAGTTTCCTGTTACTCCCTGGCATGTGGCCTCTCCCTCCCTACCCCTAGATGAAAATTGGGAGTTCACGTAATAACTACACTTGGGATTCCTTGCTGCACAGGTTTCCTTCTCTGGATAGCTCTTAGCTCTTAGAGCAGCCTCTATCTCACAAAAGGCGCTGACCAAAGGGCCCTGAAATCCCAGAAGAGGCAGGGAAAAGGGAAGAAAAATCATTCTTTATTCCAAAACTCAAATCTTTTCACTAGGCCTGTTCTGTACATTAATCCTAGCCTCTAAGTGGAAAAAGAAAAGGAAAGGATGTGACCGGGAGAGGGTTCCCTCTAAGAGGGAGCTGTTCTCTCCCGCCCTCTCACCAAGATCAGCCTTAAGCTAATGTCTTTCTCCTTTCTCAGCGAAGGCTGGCAGTTCCATTAACCAGCAGCACAGTTTTTTCCTAACTCCTCCCTGCCCCGCTTCCTCTCTCCATCTTTCTCTTCCTCAGAGATCTGCTCTCAATCTGAGCTTTCCTCAGTACTTTTTCCCTTCTCCCTTGTTCCATAGTACAATAACAGTTCTAGTGTGGCCATAGAGAGAGTCCCTGTCATCTTGCCATTGGCTTCCTCTACTTGCTTCTCTACCCCTGGTATTCGTCACTCAGTCAGTGGACACACTCCATCTTCCCACCAGGAACACAAAACCCCACCCAACTGATGGAGTTTCCCTTCTGGTGCCTATCTCACTCTTTGGCAAAGCCTTCTCCTTTGGGTGCAGTCTTGCCCTATCCACCAGCACCCCCACCCAACCTGTATTAACTGTAATTTTGTAAGAAGAGTGACTCTTTGGTTTAATAAATCCTTAGTTACTGTAATAATTTATTGGCTGTCCGTAATGTATTTATTAGTCCCCACATGTTAATAAAGTGCCAGCTCTTTCCTAGCGTGATCATGTGTGTTTGTGCTCCCTCCTCCCACATCCCCCTTCTCTTCTCCAGCATAGTCTGATTCCTGGAAAGTCTCCAATAGGGTCCTCCTGGTGAGATGCCTGGTCCATATATATCATTCAGCCATTTCCTCATACAGATGCAAGCAAGACTGGAGGCGGTATCAGGATAGTCAAAAGAAAACTGGCCTAGGAGACAAAATCTGGCATCAACCTGATTCTGCTCAACAAATATTTGTGTGACTGTAAGCAAGCTATTTGGCATCTTTGGGCCTCAGTCTCTTCATCTGTCAACTTTTTTCTTCAAGAAGCTACAATTTCATCAACGTAGGTACTTCTTCCACCAATGTAGATCATAACATCCTCCACAACTCTATAGTGTCACTTGTGACTATGGCCAAAAGGAGCTTGGTGGCTGGTCTTCTGAGGATGGGCCTCTCCATCTGGGATGACAGTCACATAGTTTATCCTCCGTCCAGTTGTTGGAGCCTTGCCAGCATGGTAGGACCTACTTGGCAGAACCTTAAGGAATCTAGGGTCTCTTCCCCACCACTCCATGAAGTACCATTGTTTATACACACACACATACACATACATACATACATATATATGTACACATATATACATATATATATCCTCCTTACCTCACAGGGATGTTGTAAGGATTAAATGAAATAATGGATGCTGAAATACTGTGGAGTATTAATTGTTTTGTAATCAAAATGTTCTATCTAGTGATTGGGGGGACAGGGTATTACTATCCTTATTTAGACAACCATGCATTTGGAACAAAAAGCCCTCCCTAGCCTGTCTTTTAGCCTAACTTAGAGTGTGGATGGATTGGTCTAAAGGTGTATGTCTGCTGACCATTAGTAAACAAGAAACTAACTGGTGAGATGATTGAGTGTCTTTGAAAACCAATAACTGCAAAACCTTGGTTTAAAATATGTTTTGTGTATATTTGCACCTGCCTACTTACATGTGAAAAAAAGTGCTAGACCTGTGTCTGTTTTCTCTGTCTCTGCCTTTCAGTTGGTCTTGCTGTGACCCTCATTTTTTTCAACCTGCAGCTGTCTCCTACTCCCTACTTTGGACCATCATCCCCCAAAACAAGAACCCAAATGTCTAAGTACAAGGAAAAATAATCTGGGTCTTCTGCTCTGTCCCTGGAGGAGAGGACTGCAACATAAATGGGGGTATCCAGAGGTTTAGGGGAAATGCTAAAGCCTGCTCATATATGGCAGTTTGGATTTTAAATTCAAGGTAGCCCATACAGGCACCCTCCAATCATCAGGAAAAGGGAATTACTTTTGGAGCAGGGTTATCCAAATGTGCAATGGAAATAGGGTTGGGGGAGAAGCTCTAAACTCTTTCTAACATCAAATCCCACTGGCATGATGTCTGAAATGTTGCAAACAGAGAGGTTGGCTTTGGTGAGGTTGCTTCCTGCATTAATTCTCCTTATCTATCTGTACTTGTGAGTATCTGTACTCCTGAGCTCCAGCAGACTGAGTACGCCTGAAATAGACAGTGCCCCAACTTTGGTTCTCCAGAATGGTTTTCGTTGGTGGTTTAGAGTAGCACTTTAGTAAGGTGCATGGATTGGGGCTTTTCTGTGGGATGGGGAAAGAGCCTAGATCCTAAATTTTTTTTAGCCCTCTGCAAGGTAGATATTGATTTTGCCCAGTGTTCCATACTTAAGCAACAAAGCAACCTGGTGAAATCTGAAATTTAGCTATGTTCCAATTGATGAGACATTTTGCCTTCTAAGGTGTGGCCCTCAGGCCTCATTTCCTGGATGTTTCCATCAGCAAATGAGTCATTAATGTACAGAGTGGCTCCATTAGATTAATGGGCTCATGCAAATTACTGAGGTGCCTTTCAGGAAACCTGAGAGTATAATTTACTAGTTGACTCTAGACAGGTAATAAGATGATATGAGTTTTCTGAATTAGTCTGTGGAGTAAATAGTGACTACCATTTGTTAATGATTCTACAATAATGCTGAGTATCAAATGAAATGACTCTACAGGGGTGGTTAAGAGCATAATATGCTTCTCCATAAGCTAGTGTTGGCCAATAAAGATGTGGGCAAGATGATGTCATTTCCCTGATTATTTGGGCAATAAGATAAATGTGCAAACAATTAGCGAAACAAAGGAACAACTGGTAAAAAAAAATCTTTTAGAACCAGTTGTGACTTGAAAATTTTCAGTGACTCCCTATTGCCTCCAAATTAAACTTTAAATTCCTCCGTGTAGAATTTAAGGCTTTCCTCAGCTCAATTTGACTCTAGTCTACCTTTATAGATGATTTGATATTACTCCCCTTCAAACACTAAATTTTAGCCAGATGGATTTACTAGCTATTTCTCAAACTAGACATGCTATCTCCAGTTTCTGGGACTTTGACCCCCCTGTTCTCCCCACCCCCAACCACCTGTAATGCTGTCTCTTCCCTTCTCTTTTAGTTTCCCAGGCTTCCTTTAAGGCTCAGCTCAGGTATCATCTTCTATGCAAAGACTCTTCCAAATTTCCTACTTGTTCCTACTTCTTCAAATTAAGCTGTATGCACACATAAGCACCCTCTTTACACCACACTAGAGTGTTAGTTCCAGGTTTTTTTCTTTTCTTTTCTTTCTTTTCTTCCTTCCTTCCTTTCTTTCTCTCTCTCTCTTTCTTTTCCTTCTTTCTTTCGGTCTTTGTATATCTCCAGTACTTTGTCCAGAGGAGGCATTTATTAAATGAATTGAAAGGAAGATTCAGGGTCACCTCCATGCCACAGAATAAGACCTTAGGTAGAAGAAACAGTATGATCATCTTTGTAAATCAGACACTTACTGCCAGGATGTATTTTCAGGCATTGCTCTTAGACAGGCTTTGTTATTGATATCATCTCCTAAACCAATCATGATGGCAGCTCAGTTATATGTCATTCTTTATGGTTTGCTGAGCACTTTTCTCTCCCCAGTCCGGTATGGTTGATGGTTATTATTTTCATTTATGTTTTGCAGATGAAGGGGCTGAGGTGGGGCTGGAAGGGTGGGGTGCCCTGAGTCTTAAAGCTAGGATTTAAATGCAGGCCTCCTCCAGATTTTAAGTCTTTAGGGTATGTCATGCTGCTTTTCATTCAGAATATTTTGTCTATAGTTGTTTAAAGTGTTTGCTTATCTGTGGATGCTAACTGGCAAAGCTGCTCTGGGACACAGAGAAGATAAGGAATTTGGTACCCCCTTTTTCGACCTCAAGCTGTTGTCACTCTGGTCTTTGTTCAAGAGTTTTAACTCATTTTAACCAGTTTAAATCTAATCCAAATCTCCAGCCCTGACCTTTGCTCTAAACCTCCAGTCCTGCAAGTGATACAAATCCTATGTTCATTTCACCATTTAAGCCTGAGGCTAGAGGCCTCAAAATGGTGGGGAGATAAAAAGGGTGGGGAGAGGGGAGCCATCTGGTAGCTTCCAATTTTAACTAGTTCTTCTTGCTAAATTCTGTTATTTCTATGCTGCTGAAGAACTACAAGTGTTTTCAGTGTCCCCTAAATTTGGTACCTTGAGGCAAAGCCCTGATTGCCCTTCCCTAGTTACTGCTCTGTTAATCATGCAATTCTTTGGAATGATGCTAACTATACAGAGGCAGCAGTAGATGAAGGGCTTCTGGATCACAAGTTCTAGCTAGAAAGGCTTCTTATTCTTTTTTTCCTCAGGGTCCATTTGATATTTTTTTTCAATGTCTTCAGGAGAATTTTGTATTCGAGGATGTCATCCTTGTAGCATTTGAAAACACCTATTTCATACTTAATAATGTTCATAAATCACATTTTCCCTCCAAATAACTTGCATGAAAATGTTTCTATATGCTAGAATTTTGTCTCACAGTTTGCTGAGGTGTAAAAAAAGAGAGAACTACAGTTGGTGACTAATAACAACAGCTAACATTTATCCAGCACTTTGAGGTTTGCAAAGCACTTGTTAACACACTGATCCTCACAACCACCCAGGGAGGTGGGGGCTATTATTGTTCTCATTTTATAGATGAGAAAACTGAGGCAGACAGAAATTAAGTGACTCACCCTGGGTCACACAGCTGTCTAAGGCAGGATTTTGCCTCCATGCCTAGTAGTCTTTTTCATTGAACCACCATCTTCCTGTAGCTTGCACATAGGCAGTGAGCTACAACATGTACATATTCAGGAATGGTATCCCCACCGGTTTAACAATATATTAACCTCCCAGTCTTGCAAGCTTCAACTCATGGCTGAAGTTGGGTTGGTGACTTTGCCACCAAAGATTGAATTAGAAGGAAACAATTATGATTTATGTAAATGTAATAGAGTGGATAGAGAGCAGGCCTTGGTATTAGGAAGACCTGGCTTCAAGTCTTGCCTCTGACAGACTTGCAGTGTGACCATGGGCAAGTCACTTAAGCTCTTAGCAGCTCAGGAAGCTAAATTAAATGTGCTAATCTATATTGGCAGAGGCAGAGGAAATACCTGTTTCCTTAACCATCCCACCTCCCAGCTACTCGAGTCAATGAAATCACAGGACTGGTCCAAAAAAAAAAAAAATCAGCAGATCAATCCAAAATATAATTCAAGACTCTGCATTTCTATATGTTTAAACTTTTACCTTTTAATAAATATGTATGCTGCTTTTCATTTCACCGACACAACCTAAGACATGCTATTTTCTCTTCCCTGAGCGTTTTGATCAACCAAGGCAGTGGTAAGCAACTTATTTCTAGTTTCTACAGGAATATAAACGAAGGCTACTGCTCTTGTCCATTCTGCTCCAAGACCTCTCAGGCCTAGTCAGGAAGACAGGAATATCTCTACCAACCTAATTTAGATTAAAAGTCACCAGAAAGGGAGCAATGAAAAGAGACGGGATGGTGCTGTGGTAAGATCTGCTAAACCTGGTAATCCCCACTTACTACCTATGTGACCTTAAGCAAGTCAGTGATTCCTCCTCTGTAAAATGAGGAAGGTGAGGAGCAGCTAGGTGGCGCAGTAGATAGAACTCTGGCCTTGGAGTCAGAAGAACCTGAGTTCAAATACGGCCTCAAGACACTTGATACTTACTAGCTGTGTGACCCTGGGCAAGTCACTTAATCCCCATTGCTTCACAAAAAAAAAAAAAAAAATGAGGAAGTTGAATGGGTTGGCCTCTGATGTTTCTCAAAGCCCTAGGGTGACAGTCCTATGAAGGCACTGAATTCTTCCCTTGTGAAGAAGGGCATGCTTTCAGGAGGCACCTTCCTTTTATGGTTTAGATCAATACTGTAAAAGTGTACCTCTACTCTGGAAACATTGTGATAGTTTTACACCATACATCTTCCTATTTCATCATTTTTATTTTGGGAACATAAAGGACCTGGCAGGACCATGTGGACGCTAAACATGCTATTGTCATTTGTTCTTTAAAAAATTATAATCTAAATTTTTTCCATTTTTCAAGGGAAATGATTGGTGTACATAATAGTCTGGACGAGGGAGAGTCTGGAGGCAGAGTTAGAAAGTTGTCAGTGCAGTATTTCATGTGTTAAATAAAGAGGAAGTAGGGTTCTGGCTAGGGCAGGTCTGATCATGTCACCACCATCTTGAACACAGGCAGTTGGCTTATACACACTCAGTATATACAAACTCCAGTGGCTCCCTATGACTTCTAGGATCAAATGTTAACTCTTGTTTGATGCTTAATGGTCTTCATAACCTGGTTTTTCAACCTACCTTTCCAATCTTCTTACATATTATTCCCCTCTGTGATCACTGTTCTGCAACCACTCCTCTCCATCTCTGTCTCTCTACCTTTGCACTGGCCATCCCCCATGCCCAGAATGCACTTTCTCTAAACCCCTGCCTCTAGGGATCCCTGGTTTCCTTCAAGACTTTGCTCAAGCATCACCATCTATATGAAGCCTTTTCTGATCCTTGCCCTCATCTGCTAGTGCCCACCCTTCCCAAACTGGCTTGTATTCATTTTGTATCTATAATATATATATGCATATACAATATATCCATATGCCCATAGGTACCTATGTGAATATACATACATACATATCTAAATATACACATATGGATAAAATTAAATTATTACCTATAATTTATGGTATATTACATATAATTAAAAGTTTCCTGAGGACAGAGGTTGTTTTACTTTCACCTTTGAATCCCCAGTGTTTAGCACAGTGCCCGGCACCTAGCAAACATTTGATAAATGCTTGGTGATTAATTTGTTGGTCGATTGGCTACACTAGGCAGAGTGATACAGTACTTAGACCTCTGGGCCTGGAGTTGGGAGAGACCTAGGTTCAATTCTCACCTCTGGCACTTACTAGTCATGTGCCTGTGTAAGTTACCTGGCCTCCCTGGGCCTCATTTTCCTCATCTGGAAAATGAGGGTGACGATAGAGTTTGCTTTGAGGGATTGCTGGGAGAATCCAATGAGAATAATGTCTATAAAGAACTTTGCAAAACTTGTTTGGGGTTTAAGGCCATAACCTGGACCCCTCTCACCTTTCCATCCTTCTTACACCTTACTCACAAGCCATGTGTACCTCTCAAGGTTGATGACACCAACCTCACTGCTGTTCCTCCCACTAGACACTCCATCTCTTGACACCAGACATCTTCTCTGGCTGTTCCCCACACTGAGAATGCTCTCCCTCCTCATCTCTAAATCCTGGCTTCCTTCAAGCCTTGGCTAAAATTCCACCTCCTACAAGAAAGCTTTTCTATATCCCCCTTAATTCTAGTGCCTTCCCTGTTTATTATCTCCTATTTATCCTGTACATAGTTATTGTGTACTGTCTCCCTCACTAGACTGTGAGCACCTTGAGAACTGGGATTATTTTTTGCCTTTGTATCCCCAGCACTTAGTACAGAGTCTGGCACATAGTAGGTGCTTGATAAATACTTGTTGACTGTGTGGAAGACATTTTAAAAAGAAGGGGCAGATGTGAAAGACATTTTGAGTGGGGGTTGGGCTAGATGACAGTGACTCCTAAGGACTCTTCCAGCTCTGTAATTCCATCTATAGGTATTGGTTAAGAGCGGCTCTGATCTCAGGCTCAAATGAAACAGAGTATGTAAAGCTCTTTGTAAACCATAAGGCACTAAAGAAATGTCAGCTATTATTGTTAACAATTATTATTACCGGAATCAGAAGCAACCCCTACAGTCAGAAGAGTCCCATGTTTCTTCCTCCTGAGAGAAACACGGCCTGGTGGAAAGAGCTCTGGGTTGGATCTGAGGTCTAAGTCCCTGCTCTGGTCCTAACTAGTCATGTGCCCTTAGAATCTCCAGACCTCAGTTTCCTCATCTGTCACTTGAGGATGATAATCCTGGCACTATCTCACAAGGTTGTCCTATGAGGCAAATGAAAGACTGTGATGAATGGGAAGGAGCCTTGAAAGTGGAAAGTGTTACATGCATGCCAAGGACGGCGGCTCAGGGGATTTTACAAAGTTGGGTTTGAGCAGCCACGTTCAGTCCCATCAGAGGCGTCCTTGAGGACCTGCTGCTTCTGTAGGCCCAAGGATTTGTATGGTGGCTGAGTTGTTGAGCTGTTGTGTCTAAAGGCTTCTCTCTCAAACCTAATTCTCTCCTCCTCTCTTTTCTCCTGTCCTCTATCTCTGTCTGTTGCTTTCTGTCTTGCTTTCTTTTCACCAAACCCGCTTCGGGGTGACAGAATCGCATGCACGAGTCTCTCATGCTCTTCGACTCCATCTGTAACAACAAGTTCTTCATTGATACCTCCATCATTCTCTTCCTCAACAAGAAAGATCTATTTGCTGAGAAGATCAAGAAGTCACCCTTGACCATCTGCTTCCCTGAATACACAGGTAGGTGTCACAGTGCCCCTGGTTTGGTTCCTGGGGCCAGGAAGCCAGAGGAGACAGACAGTAAAGTTGCCAGTGAGAACAGTGAAGAATGCTACCGAGGAAGGAGACCCCTGGTCTGGTGGGGGGCTTAGAGAACCCAAAAGAGTGTCCACGAATAGATGTCGGAGTTTGGGAAAGACTCCCTGGGTGAGTTCTGTCTCTTGTCTTCCAAGGGATGTTCCAAGTAGAGGCTCATTCATACTCCCTTACAATAAAACCAGGACAGAGCACATTAGCTGTACCTCAGTTCACCCTCCAGACACTTTTCTCAACTCGTTTCATTCATGCTCCTCGCACTCTCCCTCAGTTGTCCTTCCTCTACATTCCCATAATTCTATAGATGAACCTTCTTACCCATCCCCAACCACAACACTTGCAGCCACCACCAGACCCACCTCTCTTTTCCTTTACATGTTTGGCTTTCTCTCTCCTCCTTCCTGAAAAGTCTCATTTCCATATCAAATTCAATTCTGTCTACTTTTCTAAGGCCTCTCCATCTCCAATTCATTCTTCTTCTCTGCTTGTCTTCACTGCAAATATGACCGACACCAGAATGGATTCCCAGAAGCTGAAGAAACCTCCGAGTCTTTACAGACAGGGACAAATAATCAGTCATCTGCCTTAGCTAGCTGTGGCCCCGAGTTTCCTGAAGGAGATGATGTGTTCCTAAGGAGTATACAGTCTAGCTGGAAACTAATACAGACATAATGTAGAGGAACAACTAGAGAAACAGCATTTTTGAGCAGGGGTATGATAGTATGGTAAAGACCCTGTAAGTGCTGGGGACTTTAGAGAAATGTAAAGATCATAGTAAAATAGGTGATTCTGGCCAAGCTTCATGGAGAAGGCAAATGAGCTGGATCAGCAGAAGGCCTTACCTGCCTAGCACACTTCTCCCAAGGTTTGAAGTCCAAGGGAAAAGTAATGGAAAAGAGGCCAGATTTCCCAGCATCATTCTTCCTCCTCCAGTGCCTAGCACAGTGCTTGGTGCATTGTAAAGGCATAATAAGGGATTGTTAACTGACTTCTTCACACTTCCACATAATGGTACCAACTTCAACCTTTCCTTCTCAACTTCATCAATCCAATAAACATTTTAAGCACTTGTTATATGCAAAGTACAACCCATCTTTTGTGGTATCCATCCTCAGTTTCTGTAATTAAGAATTGCTTCTCAGATGGTGAGTTTGCATAAGTGATGATGCTGTGGCAAACAGGGACACCTTGATGCTAGCTAAAAATAAAAAAGGTGCAGGGCTCACCTGGTGCCCTGAGAAATGTTGACTGTTGACCCCAACTCTTTTCGAGTGGTCCACTAGAATACCTCTGGCACACAGGAGGTCCATGCTACCTTCCATGGACTACATACAACCATTACTGTTATAAACAACTCTAAGAATCCAAGTGAGTCACAAAAATTCCCAAGTCAATTAGTTAGTAAATGGTGCCCACTGGGAGAAATTAACACTACACAGAGCCCTATAGAAGATCACCATGGGTAACAAACTTGTCCGGAATTGCATCACCATCCTGAGGGTAGTTGGTAGTGTGGTTTCTCATTAGAGGGGGCCACTAGTATGGGAGCAATATCAGAGGTGGAGAGATATTGAGAAAATAGAAGGAAAAGAATGACTTTAGGTCTACTCAGGATTGACATGGGTTGACCAGCCCTGTTCTAGGATTCAAATAGCCTAAGATAGATATTAGGTTGTCTGTGTCAGCCTCCATTCTCTCTGTTTCTATGAAGCATGCATGCTTATCTTAAGAGTTGACAAAGAAGGATGTTTGGATAAGACAGTAATGACGTTGTAGAAAAAGCCTTAGATGGTGAGTCAAAGGTCCTGGTTCTAGTCCTAGCCATATACAAAAACTACTTGTGTGTAACCTTGGAGACAAATCACTTTACCTCCCCTGAGGCCAAGTTTCTCCTGTAAAATGGGGATAGTAAAACCTGCCCTATTAACCTCATGAGGTTGCCGAGAGGAGCAAATGAGGTACTAGAGGGAAAATCGACCCTTTGAGCTCCTGGTATTCAGTAGAGCCCTGTGCTAGAATGATAGGGCTAGAGAGATGATTAAGACAGCCCTTTGCCCTCTAGGAACTTATGACCTAGTAGGGGAGATAAGACAAGTACATACAGAATTAAAATACAAGGTAGAATACATAAGGGTAAGCAGATATCTTTGGAGGGAGAAATAATGTCTCACTAGGGGAACCAGTGAGGCCTTCTTGAAAGAGGTGGTCTGAGATAGGCCTTGAAGGACAGGCAGGATTTTGGTAAGTAGTGAGGAAATAGGGAATTCTAAGAGGAAGAAATCAGCATGAGTAAAATTTGACAAAGAGGGAATAGTTAGTCCAATACGGCTGGAAAGGAAAGTATGTGTGGGAGATGAGGCTGTTAATGTGTGTTAGGACCAACTGGTGGAGAGATTAGAATGCCAGGTTAAAGAATTTGGACCTATTTAAGAGATGAGAATTTTTTAACAGCTTTGGAGCAGGGGAAAATGGAAAATCAAAGGTGATATACATGCAAGGCATTTATATTTTTATAGAAAAAGCTTGGATTGAAGGAGAAAAACTGCATTTAAGTCCCAGCTCAACCACTAATCAACTGTGTGACCTTGGGCAAATCCCTTAGCCTTTTAGAGTCTGTTTCCTCATCTGGAAAATAGGGATAATATCTGCTGGACCTCCCTCACAGGGTTGTTGTGAGGATCAAGGAAGATGTAAAAACACTTTAAAGTACTCAATGGTAAAATGCTGCCTCCTCCACCACACTCCCCTCTCCTGTCATCGTAGTGATTGAAGGACCAATGGATCCCCAGACCCCGATGACTTACTGTTCTCCCCTTGGCTCTTGGCTTCTTTCCCATCCAGTCCATCAATATGCTTCTTTTCCCCATCAACCTTGAACCTAAGATTCTCTCTATCTCTTCTCTGCCTTATTTTCCTGCAGGCCCTAACACCTATGAAGATGCAGCCGCCTATATCCAAGCACAATTTGAAAGCAAAAACCGCTCACCCAACAAAGAAATTTACTGTCACATGACTTGTGCCACAGACACGAATAACATCCAGGTGGTATTCGATGCCGTCACTGACATCATCATTGCCAACAATCTCCGGGGATGCGGCTTATACTGACCTCTTGTCCTGTGTAGCAACTTATTTGGTAATGATTCCAACACTCACAGAAAATCTTCTCTCTCTCTCTCTCTCTCTCTCTCTCTCTCTCACACACACACACATGCACACACTCACACACACACACACAACCACTAACAAATGCAAGTTGGTAAAAAAATTTAAAAAGGCATAACAGAAAATTATATATATATAAACATATATAAAATCTTTTTAGTTTGTCTCAGAAAGAACTGGGGACAGAACTGACTACCTTTTGATAGCCCATCAAGACCTTCCCTGGGAGGATTTGACAAAATGGGATGACACACACAAAAGAGAAAAAAGAGCAAAAACGTTAATCTTCTCAACAACCTGTGAAGGTTTTTGGAATCTGTCCTACCAGTTTCAATGGGCCCCTCTTAAAGTAATGTGATTTAAAAAAAAAAATAGTTTACTTTTGAGGGGAGGGAGGAAGAAGTGAACTGTTGCATATGCCCCATTATCTGTGGGGTAGAAACTGAGTCAGTTGGGTTCAACTCTTGTGTTTTCTAAAGCCTGTGAAAGAAACACTATATATTTCCCTCCTCCTCCTCCTCCTTACTCCCTCCCCCCAACCAAAAAAAGAAAATCCTTGTAGGACATTTATTTATTTATTTATTTATTTTTAAGAGGACCTGGCTGGATGGTTTCCCTGAGTTATCCATAGTCTCCAGCCAGCTCTTCATTTGTGGAATGCTATTTCCTTCCCAAGTTAAAAGCAGAGGAAGGGGCAGATGGTGTTTGCTTTTTGACACCAGCAGTGGGAAAGGGGCACCCAATACTGGTGTTCCTGAAAAATGTTCCTGAAAAAATCAAGCAGAAACCCAATTGAAAGAAGGCCTTTGGCAGGGACAAGGAAGGGACCCAGGGTGGGGTGAGGGCTTTGCTGGCAGAAACAGAATGCCCCCTCAGGGCCAATCTAAAGGTGGGTTCTTATGGAATAAGGACAGAAAGGAAACTGAGGCTTGGTGGTTCCTTCCTCACTGGGCCTTGCCCCCTACCCCTCCTCCCTTGCCTCATTTTTAAATCCTGTGAGAGGGTACTCTACAAATTGCAGTGCTATCTGTCCCATCTCACCTGTTCTCCTGGCCCCCCCAACTTCCCTCATCTCAGACAGGGATGTCCTCCCTTCCTCCCAATCCCTGGCTGCCACCCCATGCTAAGAAGTTGTACAAACATTGCTTTGTTGTTGTTGTTTCTTAAGAATGAAAGAAAACAGTCAGACTGGACCCCCTTGTCTCTCTCTCTACAGAATGCTTCACGGATTCTCTGTCCTGTTGGCGTTGATCCACTGATAGCATGACCTTTTGGCCTTTGTAAGAAACGGCCTTTCTTTCTCAAGTCCATGTGTAATGTACTGAGCCTAGAAGGATGGCTGTGTGTTTCTGTAGAATGCCATAGCATTTGGTTTTAGCTGAGTCTTTACATTTAGAAGCCCAATAAAAACAAAACAAAAAAGGACCCCCCCCAATATTTCTCACGTGCTTTCATAGCTAAGAAAGGACAAATCGTCTTCCCTTTCAGCCTCTACCCTCACCCTCCATCGGGTCCCCATTATTTTATAGAATTTACACACTGCCCAATACTCAGCCTGGGTAGAGAGGGTACAGCATCAGCTGCAGGCCTCAGCTTGACATTTTCATTGGGGCATTGGAGCTGCACTTTGGGGTGAGTTCTCAGAGCCTCAGAGGCCCTGGCTCAGCTGGAATGAATGAAATCCCTGCAGACCACTGTTGGTCAGGCAGTGGCCTCCTCCCCTCCCTCCCCCATCCCCCCCCTCACCCTCCCCACCTTGACCTCCACCTCCCCCAGGGCATGACTGATCCCCAGGTCCCATTCCCAAGGCAGATAGATGCCTGTCACTCACCCTGCAGGTTTGTACAGAAAAAGCACAGCACTCACTGGCTGGTAGCTGCCAACAAGTACATATGTTTATATTTTCTCTCTCCCTATTTTCCTCCCATACTTTTTTATTTTCTTATCTGGACTTTTTTTTTTGTCCTGACAAATACTGTGTATCACATGCCAAGACAGGCTTCTAAGCTCTTTAGGGGATCTTAGGGTTTCATTTTTTTTTTTTTAAACTTTTTTTTTAAGTTCTTAACCTTCCTAGTGAATGCTTTTCTTTTGTGCTGTTCTTCCTTCTTCCTCCTTTGTTTTAGTGGATTGTGTTTTCTCTCTCATGTGGAGATGTTTGTGCTGCAGAAACAGAACAAAAATTAAAAACACAAAAAAAATTTTAAAACACCACAAAACAGAAAAAAAAATCCTACACACACAAATTTTAAAAAAATCGAATGTAGTGTTTACATCAAAGCCACCATTTTCATGTCCTTTGTCATTTCTACTTTGATTAGTAACCAAACCCCTAGACCTCTTCACAATTTCACTTTTAAGACTTTTGCGACAGAACCAGTCACAGACATTTCAAATAAAGAGGAAGCAACCAAAACAAAAACACACAAACACATACACACACAAACTTTAAAAAAAAAAAAAAGGAAAAAAAAGAAAAAAAAGCCCATGGGTCTTTCTAAGCCTTTCTATTCCCAATCAGTGAGGTTTCTGTGATTATCTTACACACTGCCAGTCTATTTCTCTGACTAATGGAAATTCATGTGTAGCTCAATAAAGAGAATGTTTGTCTGTATTCTTGAGACTATGATCATTTGGTTTGGGTTTCTTCCATTCATGGAAAGTAAAAGATAACTTGTTCTTTTATTCTGGGTTTGGGAGCAAACAAGCATTTATTAAGCACCTACTATTTATCGGGAACTGTGCTAAGCACTGAGGATCTCTCCCCTAAGAAGCTCACATTTGAATGGGGGAGAAACAAACAAACATGGTCAGGATAAATTAGGCCTCACAGCTGCTCCCACTCCTCTTCTCTGGGTCTTATGAATTTGGTCTTTGGTCAGTAGTGGGTTTAAAGCATGCAGTCATCTTCCAAGTTTTCTTCCAATGCCCTAGCACAGAAAACTTGGTATAATAGGAAAACCCCACCATGCACAGTGTGGTATAATGGGTAAAGTGCTGGACATGGAACCAGGAAGAAGTGAGTTTACATCATGTCTCTGACATGGTGTGACCCTGAAGAGATCTCTTAACCTCTTCTAGTATTACTTTCCTTATCTGTAAAAATGGGCCTCAGTAATAGCTGTAGAATTTATCTCATATGTTTGTCACAAAGGCTTATATGAAATATGAGTAATGTTTTGCAAACTTTTAAGCACTATACAGATGTCATTATTTCCCTTTCCTCAATATCATTCCACTCCATTGATTTCTTTCTGGATGAATTAAGATGGGAGGGGGGGAGCAGATGACTTTTGGTCTCCTGATAAAGCAAAACCTAGTTTCTCTCAGGCCCAACCACCACCCTCATGCTACCTCTACCCTAACCTGCACCACCAGCCAGAGAGAAATGCTCATAATGAATCTGTGAGAAGATCCTATTACTAACTTTGCCTGCTGGCAAAGGAAGCAGGTCTGAGGAATCTCTGACCAAGATAGAAAGTTGATCACCATGGCTCAACTGCCTTGTTCTGATGCCCGGCCATCGCTCTATCAAGGTTGGCGACTTAGCCTGCAGAAACCAAACTCTGGTTATAAACTTGTGATCCCTGGGCCACTGACTGCTAAGAGTGAGATCCCTTCAGTTGCTCATCTAGGCCATATGACAAGCCACATTTACAATGTACTTTAAGCAGTTTCCTTATGACATACCTGAAGTCAGGAGTGCAAGCATTCTCTCCATTTTAAAAATGAAGAAACTGAGACTCAAATTGGTTTATCAAGGGCCAAAGAGCTATTAAGTGTGAGTCAGTGTATGAATCCAAGTTTTATGAATCCAGTGCTCCGACTATAGCAAAATGCATTGAAGGAAACTTAGCTCTTTTGCATGTCTTGTCAAAGAGGCAGTTTAGCGGCTAGAAGAGTTTCATGACTAGGAAGCCACCTTCAAGGTTAAATACCTTCCAAGGGACATGTAGTTGATGTGGTCCAAGCCATATCTGAGTTCTTGAAGCCTCTTGCTCCCTGATACTGGTAAGAACTGTCCACCCCCTTGAAAGTTGAATCCTTTCAAAAATGCTAGTTTGAGGGTGTAGAGCTAAGACCCATATTGTAGTCTGGGAGGTGCTTTGATTGGTGAATATAATAGGCCACACCTACACAGGATTCTATTCCTAACTGCAAAATTGATCTTGCCAAAAATTGAAGAGATTTCTCCTTCCTGGCCTTAAAATGAGAAAGACTGAGGGAATAACCTAAGATGCAAAGGACACACAAGGCATATAGAATCCCCTTTTCTGGCCTAGGCTCCTATTTATCAATAACAATAAAAACTCCAGGCTTAAATAGCCTGGAGAAAATTAGTCAGCAAACATTCATTGCCTATTCTTACATCACTTCAGCAAATCTTTTCAGTATTTTTGAGTACCAAGTGCAGATTCTTATATTAGGTGCAGTTGGGAATATAATCCTCTGTCCTCATGAAGTCGACATTTTGTAAGCCAGAGACGTGGACATACAACTGGTATAACGGATTTAGCATCAGAAGGCTTGGATTTTGATTCCATCTCTGCTCTTTACTACCTGTGCAGCCTTGAGCAAATCACTTCCATTTCTTTAGCTTGTTTTCTGCTCTATAAAATGGGGGCAAGGCAGGGAGGAGGAGGAAGCATAGTTAGACTAGATGATCTCTAAGGTCTCATCCAGGCATCAGTCCTATAAGCCTGCAAACTACAACATGAGGTAGAGGGTGAAAGTGTTACATTACAGTGGGCTAAAGGAGAGAGAGAGATCCTCTGTGCTATAGCCATCAGAAGACATTTGAGCTGGGCCTTGAAGGAAAGGCAAGCATTGGATGAGCAGTTTAGTATTCCAGGCCCAACATGTAGGGCAAACAAAAGCGCTAAGATAGGAGAAGTTCAGGGAACCTCCTCCTCCTCCTATAATGGGTAGTAAGGGGGCACAGAAGCATGAGTCGTTGGTTCTGAAGAAGCTTACAATCCAGGTAGGGAGACAACACGCACACACATGAAACAAGCAAAGAACAATATGTATTAACTGCAAAAGACTGTTTTTATCAAAGAATAGTGGGAAGTATTGGTTAGACAGAGCGGGAGCAAGTCAGGGAGAATCTTACAGTTCAGATAGAATAAATGCAGCAATGATTTGGGCTCACGTCCTAAGGAAGAAGGGTTTCTGTTGGTGGGGCTATAGTCTTCCTTTGATACTCTACTTTTTCATTTTAGGCCATGGTCTTTTAGTGTCAACTCAGAAGTTGATCCCATTTATTCTGATTTGTTTCCTTCAGTTCAGATAATATTTCCAATTCAAAGTCAAACCATAGAGAAAATGGATAAGGTCAAACTCCCCAGGTAGCTTTCACTGACTCAAAGTAAAATGGTACATGTGAAAGGTGAATTCCAAAGACCTCGGTTCAAATGGCTTCAAACAAAAACACATTCTAGGCAGGCGATGTGCCTGTGCCAATGAACTTACCCCTAGGCAAACATAAAGACATACAAATTCCCTCTCCCTTTGTATAAAAGCCATGCTTATCTCAAGGCACTTTTGATTTTAGGAGAGGATGGGAAAACCCTCTCTCCCTCCCCCAAAAAAACTGGGTACAGGGTATAGAAAGAAAAAATGACAAAAATGAGGAGGAGAAATAGAATTAGCCAGGGGAAAAAAAAGGTTAAAAAAAAAAAAAAGACATGACTTAGCAAAACATTCTACAGAAGACAGTAATTTACTATTCTTTACTTCCAATAAAGACAGAACCAAGAGCTGGGTTCTTAATTTCAGCAGATGGAGTTTTCAAAAAGAATTCACCAAGTTCCTTAAGAGAATGAGAAACTTGCAAGGGGGTCATGTTGCAGGAAAGTGACTTCTACAGGAGCGGAAAAAAATCCAATGACTATCCCTACCTAAATTCCCATAGCTGCTTCTCTTTCCACATCCTTTCTCTAATACCTAGCTCTCACAATTTAGTTTAAGGGCTAAACCTGGGATGAATGAAACTGAGATTTAAAATGAACTTCAGCAAAAATTAAATTAATTATATCTTAAACAGGAACAAATGGTTATTGATGTAAGGAGTCATATCAGAATCAGTTGTGTTGAAGTCAGAATATAGACTGGTTAGAGCAAAGGCCAAAATCAACATCAAATTAGAACAGGTAAAGGCTATGAACTGAAACAGTTCCAATCTATTCAAAGAAGCCATTCATGATGAAAAACAATAATCACATTATAATTATATTTGGAAATGGAAAAATGTAAAGATATTAATATTGGACATCATTTCTAGCTCTTTTCTGAATCTGTTTCTTCACCTTGTAAAATGACGGGCTTGGACTCGATGATCCCCAAGGTCCACTCTGGCTCTAACTCTATGAGCTTTATCAGAATGAGAGATCTGGAAGCCAAGGGCAGTTTAGAAAACAAACTCACTTAAAAATTTCATGGAAGAGGATTGTAAAAGATTACTAGTATTGCCTTATGTAGGCAGGGAAAGTAAGTCTACAGAATCTTGGCATGAGACCCAAATGACCCACATTATCCTAAGAATTTATGAATGGCACTTGCATTCAGTGAATAAAATGAAAAACATTTTTGTCAACATTTCTATAATGATCTATCTTCATAATCAGTTAACATCAACAAATTTGCGCCTTAACATTTCAGTCCATGATGTTCAACATGAGGAAACTGAAATGGTACTCAAGGCAAAGA